TTATATCCTTATCTTTTATATTATTGTTCTTGTATCATATTAACCTGCACACACGTATCATGTCGGATTTAAATCCCAAATAAATGAAAAAAAATCATTCGTGCACTCGTTTCATAATATACCTACGGTAAACTTATTCAAAGATCAATATTCTATATTCACTGAATGAAGAAAAGTGTTCTTTTCAATGGTTTTCTAAACACTCTTTGGTAAATGAACCATTTTGATGTATTCAACCCATTCAATAGAAAAACATATGTAAAACAAAATGAATTATTCAGTTTTAAGACATGTCGAACATGAAACTTACATTGTTAAATTATTCATACGGACATTAAATACCTTGATTAGCACCACCTCATTTGGCATGGGAATACTTTGTTTAACTCGCGTCGTTTGTGTTTGCAGTATGATGACCTATGTTGACGTAGTTTAACTTGCCTCATCGGATATGCATTATAACAAATTAGGCCTGCCATATTTCCTTCGAGGGCACCACTCATTTATCAAAAGTGTTTATAAACAGAAGTTCAAGTATAAAAGCCAGAAGCAAATCTATCTTCAAAAATATTTATTGATAACAGCTTTGTTAAGTTCTCAGAAATAGAATTGTAGGCATACATGTTGCTGATGTCGAATCGTCATTGTGAAATTGCACTCAAAACATTTTTTAAAAATGAAAACACTTGATAGCTCACTATAGTTCGTTTTCTTCGTTCAATTATATGACAAATTGCGTTGTTTCCAACTTTAAAACGGGCTATAACTGACCGGAAAATTCAACATTGAAAAGGATTATCTCCTGCGGTCCGGAGACCGTAGGGTATTGGTACGCGTTTAACTTTTGAGGCATGGAGGAGCACGTGACCTGTTTTCGGTACATGGAGGAGCATTTGATATGTAAACCGTACATGATTGGTTAATTGACCTCTTGAAAACCTACCTAAATACCGTGTGCCGGTACGTTACGGATTTACCTCCGAATTACACCTAATTAAGAACAAAAAAACAATTACGTGATATTTCTAATTTTCTATAATTATTTTACCGTTTCAGGTGGAAAAACTTGAATGATGTGTTTTAAAATTATCAATGTTTCTTTAAAATCTATCTCAAATTTTACAATCAATAACTTGTTTATACTGAAAATCTACAAAATTAAAATATTCGTAATGGCATCTGCCATAATAAATAGAGATATTTTCTGCGTAAACTTGTGTGTTTACTTTATTATTTGTTTGCTCGGAATTATTCATATAATGGTAGGCCTATTTAATCATTTTCTTAAAAAAAAAGTTTTACGTACGACCTTCTCCGGCCTTCAACGGTAACCAGTTTCCAAAGACCTTCTTATTGTCAACTATAGTCCTGATACAAACGTTTATTTATCCCCACATACACAAACAGTGTTGAAAATAGTTCAATGAAATCTCTTAATATCATTAAAAATGTTTCCCGCAGGAAACCATTTTACTTGTATGTAGTCTGGAGTTTATTCCCTTAACACTACTTTCCGTAGAAACAATTGGAATATCTCGGATTTTATAACATGGGCCCGTGGTTGAATATATAAGCAAAACTGGAGGAATGTATAACGTATAGTAATTATAATAGACATCCACAGTTGACTATGATAAAAAAATATGTCTGACAATCATATGCACATCGATGTAAAATTATAACCAAATCCGAATCAACAGGTAGACATTTTGTACTTTCGGTTTCTACAATCATAATAATGCCTAAGTTCATTGAAATATATTGTTTACTTTATTATCTATAAATAAACTTAATTTTGGCAGAGTTTCAATTGATATATTGGTAAAATTTGATCATTTTTTCCTAGTATTAAATTATTATTTGTTTATGTGTTTAGTTTCTTGCGAAGGTTGGACCGAAATACGGTATCCTTTCTTTGTTTTCTCACTAGTAGTATGTTCTAGACTGTTATCCATGCTTGACGGAAAGGGCCGAGAAGATGCGATCGCCATAAATTGTAAATGACTACAGGAACCAGAAAATTCTGTTCGTTGCTTTTATGGTGCAATAAAACATATGATTTAGTCCGCTTGGGTGATGTTTAATATCGTCACGTCTTGAGCAATGAGTTTCGTCAAACAAAGTTTTTCCTTCTCATGAGAAGGAAGAATTATAGTTGAGATAAAATGTATCATGGGGAAAATATGTTTGCCATTTTGATCCTAAGGTTCAATTATCACAAATATACCGTTTTATGTCGTCTGCTTCTATTCTACCCTGAACGTAATTCTTCCTTATATTTAAATGTCTGCATGCATTCATTCTAAATGCTTTTGACTTACATGGGGAAGTTAAAGGATGGAATATTTCTATATTTTACAGGGAAATTTTCAATGTCATTTTTATTTTGTGCCGCCATTTTAATGTAATTTAACGATAATCTGCGGTGTATTCCGATAACGGAATAATCGCAACTTTTGGCTTAACATTGATTGTTGAGGTGATCCGATTGAAAACGGAAGAAGTGCGTGAAATATCGGAAAATGTAAAATGAAAAATAAACAAGTTGTTTGTTCATAGGCTTTGACTACTAAATGTCACATATGAGTAAGTTTCAATAAACATAATTCTTTCTTTATATGAAAAGGAAGAATTAATAAGGTGTACGATTTTTCAACTCGCTGTATTGTCTGGTATAGATTTCTTTAATTCGCTACATTGTGTATGCTTTGTATACGTTTCTTTGACTCGCTACATTGCGAATAATTTAAGATAACCTAGGGAAACATTTGTTTTAGCTAACTGAATTATGTATGCTGTAAAATAAACCTTTGTTCATCTCCCATCCCTTGTAAATGCTTTAAAATTACCTGAATATACCGTTGTTTAACTAGCTACAATATGTACGCTGTAAATTACCTAAGAATAACTTTGTTTAACTAGCTACATTGTGAATGCTTTAAAATTACCTTATTATACCGTTGTTTAACTATCTGTAAAATTACCTACGTATAACTTTGTGCTGCATTGTGAATGCTTTAAAGTGACCTTAATATACCGTTGTTTAACTAGCTACAGTATGTATGCTGTAAAATTACCTACTAATAATTTTGTTTAACTAGCTACATTGTGAATGTTTTTAAGTGACCTAAATATACCGTTGTTTAACTAGCTATAGTATGTTCGCTGTAAATTTACCTATGTATATCATTGTTTAACTAGCTACATTGTGAATGCTTTAAGGTGATCTAAATATACCGTTTTTAACTAGCTACAATTTGTACGCTGTAATATAACCAACGTATAATTTTGTTTAACGATCTTTATTGTGAATGCTTAAAGGTGATCTATATATACCGTTGTTTAACTAGCTACAGTACGTACGCTGTAAAATTACCTACGTATATTTTTGTTTAACGATCTTCTTTGTGAATGCTTTAAGGTGGTCTAAATATACCGTTGTTTAACTAGCTACAGTACGTACGTTGTAAAATTACTACGTATATTTTTGTTTAACGATCTTCATTGTGAATGCTTTAAGGTGATCTAAATATACCGTTGTTTATCTAGCTACAATTTGTACGCTTTAAAATTACCTACGTATAATTTTGTTTAACGATCTTCATTGTGAATGCTTTAAGGTGATCTAAATATACCGTTGTTTAACTAGCTACAGTACGTACACTGTAAAATTACCTACGTATAACTTTGTTTAACTAGCTACATTGTGAATGCTTAAAGGTGATATAAATATACCGTTGTTTAACTAGCTACAATTTATATGCTGTAAAATTACCTACGTATAATTTTGTTTAACGATCTTTATTGTGAATGATTTAAGGTGATCTAAATACACCGTTGTTTAACTAGCCACAGTATGGATGCTGTAAAATTACCTACGCATAACTTTGTTCAACTAGCTTCTTTGTGAATGCTTTAAGGTGATCTAAATATACCGTTTTTTAACTAGTTACAGTATGTTCGCTGTAAAATAACCTACGCATAACTTTGTTTAACTAGCTACATTGTGAATGCTTTAAGGTGACCTTAATATACCGTTGTTTAACTAGCTACAGTTTATATGCTGTAAAATTACCTACTTATAATTTTGTTTAAGAAGGTACATTGTGAATGTTGTAAGGTGACTTAATTATACTTTTGTTTAACTGGCTGCATTGTGTAGGCTGAAACATTACCTAGGTATACCTTTGTTTAACTAGCTACATTGTTTAGGTTGTGATGACCTAGGTAAAGCTTTGTTTAACTAACTTCATTATGAATGCTTTATGATGGCATAGGACCTCTGACATAGGTATACTATTGTTTAACTAGCTACATTGTGAATGTTTTATAATGACAAATATAGGATTTGTTTAAGCAAATACATAATGAATGGTTAATGATGACATAGGTAAACATTGTGTAACACTTCATTAGGAATTGTATGCTTTATTGTAATATATATAAATACTTTGTTCAGCTTGCTAAAAAGAGTATTTGTATGATAGAAAGTGTTTTTTTGTTTAACTTGCTTCATTGTTAAGTATCTATGATGTCTTGGGTATATTTGTTTAAACTGCTACACTGGGCTTGAATCTAATGACATAAATATATATTTTTTGAAACGCTACATTGGGTTTGTTGCATTATGACACCGGTGTACTATATTGAGACAGTTTTCTACCAACCTACTAAACATTAAATTCAGGCAATTTACAAGGGCATGAATAATGGGGTAATTCAAAGTAGTACATCCAGAAAGAAAGTGCAATTTAGACCATGAGTAGAACCACCGACGTTTTGTAAGCAAGCTGATTATCTTCCTCACATGAATGAATCCAAAGTCCCTGTCGTGATTCAAACCTACAGCGGTGAGGGTTTTGAAGTCAAAGACCTTAACCACTCGGCCACGGACGCCCCGTTTTATTATCATTAAATGGACCTTATTAATAAAATTCATAAAAATGATTTAAGTTATTTACAATATCTTTTGTATTAATAGAATGTTCCAACATTTATACTTAACTGAAGATCTCATATCGTCATAAAACAGTTTTCCACCTTCACCTTTCCACATGGTCTGATTCTCACCAAGGACGTCAATAAACATTCGTCATCTACAGGCGCTGTTTTGGGTATTAGTGTCACTCATTTTTCTCATTGACGACGAAGGCATGAAGTGTTATAGCACAGAGGTTAGAAATAACATCAAAGAGCCGAAGTCTGATGTCATTATAGAAGTGACACTCAAACAAGAAACCGTTGTTACTTTCCAGAAGGCCTAATTGACACTATGGTGAGGGTTACTTATTTGTTCTGTTGTATAGTCTATTATATTTCTGTATAGGCCCGCTGAATGACTATAATGACCATGTGCTGTATTTTCAGGAATTGCTTCATCCTCATAAACTATGAAATTGAGCATGCCTACATACGACATGCTTGTCTAAACATAAGTATAGCTACAACTTACCATATCATTTGTTAAAGAAGCGTATAGGTTTTTTAAAATGGATATTGGTTTTCTGTCTCATTCATATTTATTGCAATATTTAAAATTCAATCATTAACGCTCTGTTAGCCGCAGAAATATACAACAACAACACAGTTTTAAATGATGTTACCAATCACGAAATCAACTTTAGTGCAGTTCGTGTGTATCATATCTTTATTCTTACATTTATCTTTAATTATTATAATGATTTCCTACTATAAAATGGTTACTTGCTAGTAAAATACCATGTTTCTCACATAAAAGACTATACATGAGTATAAATGAAATTACAGTTATACAACATGTTTTTCACGAAATCTGGCATAGTTGCAAAAAGACAAGTGTTCTCTACTTATTTTATGAAATTATAAATGAGAAACCTTTAGATATACAAAGATAAACGATACCAATTTCAAAAAGTAAATTGACGATAAAAATATCTAATTATCATAAAAAGGTATATAAAATGTTCATTTAAACGTTCCAGAATTTTAAAAGCAAAAAGTTTAAATCACTTTGCCTGGCAAAATGAAAAAGATATAAAATGCATATCATATTTTTTTAACAAATTGCTGGTAATGCTTGAAGTAAGATGAAACGCGTTATGGGTGAAAATAAATATGCAAAAACAGAGGGTGCATCATTTTTTATGACGTAAAAAGGATGTAAACGGTGACGTGATAAGCAATCAAAATAACGTTACCTCAATAACATTTGAGCCGCGTCATGACAAAACCAACATAATGGGTTTGCAACCTGCTTGGATCAAGACCAGCCTGCGCATCCGCGTAGTCTGCTCAGGATCCATGCTGTTCGCTTACAAACCCTAATGCAATTAGAGAAACTGATTGCGAACAGCATGGATCCTGATCAGACTGCGCGGATGCGCAGGCTGAACTGGATCCGTGCTGGTCGCAAGATGTTAACAAACCCATTATGTTGGTTTTGTCATGATGCGGCTCATCTTATTATTCATGTTTTAAATCATTACAAAACTAGCATTCATCGCGTTACTGCCATTTTGAATTTGAAATAAATTTGAAATAAAAAGAAAAAAAATGACCAAAAGTATTTCAGAATATGAAGTAAAATTTTACTGAAAACCGAAGAAACGGTGGCTAGTCTTGACACCTTTTTGGTAATGAAAACATCTTTGATTACTTGTTGCCACATTATACAATTAATGCGGAGATCAAACAACACTTAGCGCCACACCCGCGCAAAGGATTTGAAAATTTATCTGAAAAATGTCAGGGCTTTTTATCTTTTAGCTGAAAAAATGTCTATATATGGGTGAAATGTTCATGATAATTAAATAGTGTTTGAGTTAATGATTTAAAATATAATAACAACGTTATGTTTTTAAACATCCCTGTTTACCAACAGTAATATATACAAAATTAAAACACCGTTTATTTATTGATAAATCCTTATTACAGTGAAAAGAAGTTATATCGAGGGTATAAAGGACATGTGACTTTGAAATAACTAATATTACTTCAGAAAGAATTTTTTAAAGTAAATGCATTTCAACGCCCAAATTGGTTACAATGGTATAATCATTTCTGTAGAAAACCTATTGATACATCATGATGGTTTAAAGTGAAGAACAGACACACTGGCTATTTGTAATAAAGAAAGTATCGCCATACCCATGTCGACACACCCAGTTTGCACTGCAAATAAAAGTTAAGTCAAACATATAATACATATTTTCACTTGATCTGAGTGATTGCTGCATGCAAAACAAACAAGGATATTTATACTGTATTTACTATAAACTAATACGTTAGCCAATGAAAAATAACAGGTACGTAATATGTTAATTGATATATTTATCTATAACAGGCTTAACCATATTTTTTTCAATCTATTTTTTAGATAAAGAGAGGTAAACATACCAGGACATAAATGAAACTCTGTCAAGTCTAACGTAAAATACCACCTCATTTGAAACTACATTTATATCTTTTATTCGTTATTACGAACCGTGGCGAGTTTCAAATTACACCCGATTTGGGTAAGGATGGTAAAACGAAGTTAAAATAAAGTCGGTGTAAAATTACCAAAAGTGCAGCGCATGTGTCGCAATTTTACCTATTTCGTAAGTGTTTAACCATTTGAGTGTACAAGGTAGTGTAAATCAACGGTTCGGAGTGGAAATAACATATCTCATTTGATAATTAAAGGAATTCACATGTAAGAAGGTATGTATCGAAAATTTAGTCATAATTGAATAGCAAATCGGTTTGAAATAGTTTTGTTCAAAGTTATACGGTTGTCTCAGTGAAGGTTTGAAACACAAGATTCAATTTATTTGACAAAAAACTAAAGACGGTTGTTATTATGTTGTATTTACATGTATTGTGGAATATTGATCTCTCTATTGAAACTTTACGATTTGATATAAATAGCGGGTACTTCCTGAATCACGCATAACATATCAAATTTAAAATAAGTTAAAAATAAAGGCAACAAAAGGTATGACGCAATATATATACATGAATGTAAATTTTATTTAGAATGTTAACAATAAAAAACTAAAAGAATTTATATAGATTTACTTTAGCCGACAAATATAAGTCCCGGATACTTTTACTCTATTTTGACTGGATGTTTGATGTCCCGGAAAATCCCTCGCTCCAAGTAAACTTCCCTATTCTTATTTTAAAGTAAGGGTTACAGTTCTCCCCCAGTTTATTTTACACATCGGACAATTAATCCCCCACCCCCGTTTGTTTAGTTCAAATTATATTTTATTTATAACTTTTACAAAATAAAATACAATAAATGAAATTAACGGATTGTGCGTGAAGCTTAAATAAATGATTTATTTTTAAAAACTCTTTCCGGGAATACAAAAGGTGCATCATCCGATGAAATGATAAACCAAAACTGCCAAAACAAATAAACCGGAAGTTGTCCGGGACGGGAATCGTTCGGGATTCGAGAACCCTCGATAAATGTTCAGTCAGTTCAGAAGTTCGTTTAGCTCCATACGTTGTGGACAATGTCATTTGCTTTTATACTCATATGTTGTTGTTTAACCCCTCCGTGGTCGAGGGGTTAGAGTTGATGACTTCTAATCCAGTTACCTCTCTGGCGTGGGTTCGATACCCGGGAGATGCTTTGGTAGTTTAGCGCGGAGGAAGGTAGTCTAGTACTGGTGTAACTCTCCAGGAACGATGGTTAGGAAATTACCCGCCTATATGACTGAAATACTGTTGGAAAAAGGCGTATAATGAAACAAACAAACAAACTTGTTGTTTTTGTTGTTGTTGTTGTATTTTTGTTGTAATATGTTATTGAAAGTGTAAAGATTGTCCTCTGCAGACAATACTGACAAATGCTGACATTACATGTATATGCTGGAAAATGACTAATCTTTTCTATTACTTATAATTTATTCGTTACGTTTTACGTCAAATCAAATTAAACAATTAAAATGTTTACTTACTGGGTTCGTGTTTTTAATAGAAGAACGAAAACTCTAATCCTGTAAACTAATAAAAACGGTGGCTCGAAAGATTACTCTATAATTTTTCGGTGGTGGGATATTTTTACTATTACCCATTACTATTGCCCATTCTATTACCCATGATCTGTTGTTTTTTTAACTGAACTTTATATAACATTAACCCAATTGTTTACATAAATCTCACTATTTAGGCAACTTTTCTTTTCGTTTATTCTTTGAGTTCATTCTGATATCTACCAGAGCGATAAAACATAAAGTTCGCTGTGTTTCGTTTAGAATTCAAAAGCCTTTTACATTCAAACTTATTTCACAACATGTTTCATTTTCTTCCCCTTGTGCAATGCATATTGAATGACTTACTCCGCTGTATGATTTACCCATTTAGTTGCCGGGGGATTATTCCACTCAGACAAAGGTTTTGAGTGGTCACTCTTGTATCAAGTTGTTAATTTTCTATTCAACAAAAGGGGGTTTAAGACTAAAAAAGCAGTCTATGTTAAAGACAACTAATTCATCTACTTAGAGTGACTCTGGATTAGAACAAAGCAGTGGCCGACGCTGGACGAGAAACCAATGGAGACTGTAACAAGATACTAACCAAAAATAAAAAGTTTCTGAGAAATAAAATGATAGCATTTCTGAGGCATAATAGGCCTTTAAATCTTTATTGGTATTGAAATAACAAAGTTCTGTCAAAAATTGCGGTGTGAAAAAAGAGGTCACTTAAAATTATAGAGAACAATACTAATTGTATTGGACTCGTTCACAGCTTCAAAACCTATATCAGACTCGGCTAGCACTTCGTCCAATATAATGTTTACGGTTGTTTACTTGTCCAATACAATTCAGTATTGTACTCAACAATGTATAATAAGCTCATATTATCACATTGCGTTTAATGGCATGTAATATAAGCTTCATAACGTTTTCTAGATATAGAGTGATTTATGTAATATAATAACAACCTGACATCATAAAGGCCTATACAATTCGTAACAATGCTGTAAATAAACGCGAAAAAATTAAATATAACATAGTTATTTTATTTTAAAAAAAAGTCATGAAAATGAATATCATATTCCTTGATATGCGTTGAAACACTCTAAAAAATCTTTAAAATGAAATAATTGTTAAAGGCAAATCCAATTTCTTAAATTCGCATAATAAATACTTATCAAGAGATAATATAATAAAATTCTTAAATTACATAATATTTTTTCTTATAACGACATTTTATCAAAGTCTTTATTTCTTGTCATTGAATTATCATGTAGAATAAATGAAGTAAAAGTAAAGTAAAGTTAGGTAAAGTAAGGTAAGGTCAGGTAATGTCAGGTCAGGTCAGGTCAGGTCAGATATGGTATGGTATGGTTTGTTAAATGTTAAGGCAATGTGAAAGGTATGGTATGGTATGGTTTGGTATGGTATGTTATGGTATGGTATGGTATGGTATGGTATGGTATGGTATGGTATGGTATGGTATGGTATGGTATGGTATGGTTTGGTTTGGTATGGTATGGTATGGTATGATATGATATAATATGATATGATATGGTATGGGGTAAGCTAAGCTAATATAAGCTAAGATAATGTCAGGTTAGCTAAGCTTATCTAAACTCAAGTAAGCTAAGCAAAGCTAAGGTCAAGGTAAGGTAAGGTCATGAAGGTAGTAAAGTAAAGTAAAGTGTAGTAAAAGTAAAGTAAGTATTAAAGTAAATTCCTTACAATAGTGACATGTGTTTATAAAAATATATGATTTACCATAATTGCTTGATTTTCTGTTTAATGGATACTTTAAACATTGATTTATCTTCACTTTTATTACGCTTATTTGTTAATATTGCCAGTTTGACATACGTGTGTACATAGTGAATAGCATATAATAATCGATATTTTAACTATTATTATCATTTTTACTATAATTATTAATTATATACCTATACTTCTCATTATTTGTCAAGATATACTTCATACACGAAAATTTGTTTTCTGCCGATTTACGTATTTTCAAAACGCAAATCTAAAATATATTTGCCATTCTTATATAAAAATATTGAATAGAGAAGTATATATTTTCTATTTATTTATTTACTTATTTATTTATTTATTTTTAAAATATCTGGATCATGCTTAAAGTTTGCAAAGACAAAACATATTTTCATTAAATTTTAAGCATATTTACAAATTTCAAAACAATTACGCGAATGGTATGTAAATAACTATTTTTTAACAACCGAGAAATGACATTGCGCAATTTCAAATTGAAAATGTCGAAAGTCCGGGTGTATGAATATCTAATAACTTAATTGTTAAAAAAAAAGATACTTATGCATACGTAAGAGCTATCGGTTTAGATTTGATTTTAAATGATTGTTGCGTGGAAGCAATTACCTTTCATAAAAAAAAAACATGAAAGTTTGAAAATTGTGCACGTGCGTGTGCCTCAACGTGTACCTAAAAAGGCACGGAAGACTTGCTCTGAAAGACATTATGTTGTTTATTTAAGATGTATGTTGACAAAAATCGGCGAAAATCGTTCATTAAACGTATAATGGAGTGGCTCATTATAGATGTAAAAACACTCATCCACCGTACTTTGGTAAATGACCTATCTTATCTATGAAATGCGTTTATTTCTTTCTATTTTTTTTTTTTGGTGTCCTATTAAATATTAAAAAAATAATAAATCATTTGCCACTTACCTGAACATCTTTTGCATCTCTTGCTTTTTGCCAATTGTATTATTGAAGGAATTTATGATGGAACTCAAAATACCACTTTGTTTACATTTTACTACCTTTATGTTAAATAATTCGACATTCAGTGCCATTTCCTTCAGGTGATAAGTAACCTAATCTTAGTATCAGTAAACAATATTTTTGTATGCTACTCCTCGCATATGGGGTACCGGAAAATTATTTCGTTACTGAGACATGATGTGCCTTTAAAATCTCATCCGCGACAAGCGTGGATTAAATTCCACAAAGGGTTAATTTAACGAAATCACTGTGCATACAATGTCATGCAAACTAATAAAACTAAATATGTCATGTGACCTGCGATTACAGCCTGGATCGGGCGGCCCGGGTTCGAATCCCGGGCGGTGCAGTTCACTTTTGTTGTGATTGAGCATGAAATATTTTCTACGGTAATTCGCACTGTACTTCTGCTTTGGTATGTACAGAAGTTATCAGTTCCTTGCAAAAGTGAAGGAAGGATTACTGGTAAACCCAGGAACGATGCGGTAGCTGAACTGTGCTATGGTAAATTCAATACGGCTTACTGCCGTGATCCGGAATGAAAAATACTAACACCACCGTTACATTAACATAATAAAAAAACTGACGTTTTGATTGTAAAGCTTAAAAAAAACTCTTATATATTTTTATAATTATTATTTATAATTGTAATTATTATTATCTCTTATTCATACAACTATGTTAGGTGACGTACAAAAAGTTATTCATTTTACCCACAAACCAGAAGCTAATTAGTTTTGACATCCGTGTAACGCCCTGAACAAACACTTCATTACCATAAATTATAATCGCAAGGTCCCTAAATAAAGTTTTACACAGTATGAAATAACTTCGCTGAGATTTTATCAACAGAATTTTAATCAACATAATAAAAGCAGTGAATTCACCGTCATATAAATGAATGAAAATATATTAGTTATAACTTATAACATAATGTGTATTAAATTACTATCAAATGAATGCCTACTATCAATACAATGCAATATAAAGGTGTTTTTATTATTACTGTTACTAGTTAAATTATCATCATTATTAATACTATTATTATTATTATTATTATTGATAGTTTACCTGAACAAAATGCCCAGACGGGCGCTTTTAGGTTGGCAAGTTGTCCGCCCTCCGTCGTTCGTCGTTAGTCATTGTCCATAAATACTTCACACAACATCTCCTAAACTATATGGTGGAATTCGACCAGTCCTCACAGGAATGACGCTTAGGTAGCCCTCTGAAAAGTTATACAAATGATTCCAGTTCATAAGCAGGTCAAATTAAAATATACTTTTAAATATCTCTTCTCTAAAACTACATTGACCAAAGCTACGACATTGTGCAGGTAGCATCACATTGAAGTCCTCTACTAATATTGTACAAATTATGTCCCTTTTCACAATTTGACCCGCCCTAGGGATCATTTAGTTTATGTAGACTTGTATAGAAACAAAATCCATTGTTGTCTTCTTTTGTGAAACAACGATGGTCAGAACTTAAATATTTGGCATGTAGCATTGCCTAGTGGACATCTACTAATTTTATATGAGTCATACCCTGGGTTCAAAATTAGTACCCACCTTTGAGCTCCTTAATTTAAATAGACTAAGTATAGGAAAATTGTTAAACTGTCTTCTTTGTAAAACTACAGTACACAGAGTTTAGATATTTGTCCGTAAGCGGTGCCTAATAGTCATCTTCCAATGTCATATAAGTCACACTCCAGGAGTAATAAAGGATCCGCCCTGAATTTGTCTTAGTTTACATAGACTTATTTAGAGATAAAAATATGTAAACATTTTCTCTGAACACATAGAGACTCACAGTTTCCCCTGAGATATCTCTGCGTCTCCACTCTGCCTTAGGCGCGGACGTTTATTTTCTGAATGCGATCTTAATAAATATAACAAAAATAACTGGAGCTGTCACGGAGATCTTTCCGCTTCCAAGCCACGCCTATTGCGTCAGGACCAAAATAAATGTATGAAAAATAAGATAATGTAAATAAACATTCACTTTCACGCCAAGACTGATTTACGGCATGAAACCGGAATACTGTTTGCCATTTCTTTTTTTTTTCTTTTTTATTTAGCTTCTATATTTACTTATACACCTGTATATCATTAAACATTAAAACGGAGTCAAAATATGGCAAATTCTTTATAAATTGTTATCTTGTTTGACGTGTGTTATCACGCTTGAATAAACTTTTATTTATACATGTTATAGATGCAGCGAAACTACATTTTTGTATTTGCGGTCATAAACTTCATTTACACTTGTATTATAAAGATAGTCAGCTTCCATATTTGATATTTTGTCAGTCTATATTATAAAAGCTTAAAATTTCAGTTTACATAATATCATCTTACGCAATATAAAATGAGTGCGCAGAAAGTTTCAATCTTATTTAGAAACTCTCTCCTAAAGTGTCAGGTTAAGAGGTAGCGTGCTTCTTAGTTCATAATTTTACATCTTAAATGAACCCTATTTGTGGCTGTGTTGTAATTCATTTTAAGATTGATACTATCTGTTACCGAGCTGTAATAAATTTTTAGATTATCACTATCTGTTACAGAGTTGTAATTTCTTATTTTATCAAACCTATCTGTTACTAAGTTGTAAGTCATTGTCAAATCAACACTATCTCTTAATGGGTTTGTAATTTATTGTAAAATTGTCGCTATATGTTACTGTTACTGGGTTGTAATTCACTAACTGTTCCTGGGTTGTAATTCATACTTTCTCTTACAGTGTTGTAATCCATTCAATTTTAAATAAACACAATCTGTAACTGGGTTGTAATTAAGTGGAAAGTCTTATTCGTGTTATGTCAATTTATTGTATGCAATTTATAAAAGGACATTTGCCTCGATGTAAAATTGTTTGTGATAAATTAGCCCCCCTTAAAACCGATGTACCCCTATCATGAATTTATTAAAATCTCTTTACAAGTACGTTCAGCGCTTTGATTAATATTAAAATTCAGACTGTTTAATACATTCTGTGTTATGTTTCAGGATGCTTTATTCGATTCTTGGCTATATTTTACTTCCATGTAAGTATAAGACCTTATAAAACATTTGTATATACTTTTTATAGGATGAACTCATTTCCTCTATGTAGTTTTGTAGTACGGTTCTTCAATTTATCTGTGTTACATTTAAAGGCCCATGAAGGCAAGCAAAATAATAATATTTCTTTTCTGGAAAGAGTTTTATTTTTGATGTCTTGATTGCAGTTAGTTAAGTTGTTGTTTTTTTTTTTTTTTTTTTTTTTTTTTTTTTTTTTTTTTTATTTCTTTTTTTTACAATAAGTACTGTACAGTATCATAGATCTGGTATCTCGCATGTAAACATTGTGCTTCCGTTTTCAAATATTATTTTACATTCGACGCAATATTTAATCTAATAAAAAAAATTGATACGTCACCACTAGGTATTTTTCATTTTTTTATCGTAAATACAATTTTATTGATCTTCTGTTACTTTAGAGATTCAAAACAAAATTAAACTGAAAGGTTATGTGTTATTTAAATAAGATAAAAAAAACAATTCAGGAATATGTGATGATATCAGTTCCATCAGTCTTATGATATAAATGTCAATCAAATTGCATTGCCCATAAGAGCGACACGTTTTAACAATTTAAATGCATGTGTTCTTTTAAAAAGCATTTTAAATTTGACTGCTTATGCATTTGTTCACTATGGCAATTTGTATTGACATATTTAAAGTTCTTATGTAGAATCTGTTAAAAATGGTATAAAGGAGTTAATGATACCCTTATTTCAGCACTGATAGCACATATTGTTAATTGTCAAAAACCAACATGGCAATCACCTACAGATGGTAGTTCTTATACTCTAGACATTAGTCTAGCTGAAGCATGTACAGCAGATGAAAATGTTGCTGGTAACGATCCTTTAAGAGCTAGATCAAGCGGGGATACTGTTTATTATAGGTAAATATAAATTTTTAAAGTTTGTAAGAGTATCATTATCACGGTAAGGAATCATGTGTCTTTCACGGTGACGCGTTCTGACAATATCGCGGCCTTTACATGGATTTTCCAGGTAATACGTATAATTTTCCTTATATTTACATACAGAACTTGCTGTAGCCTACACGGAATAAAGAATTGTTGTCGCCTATTCCTTATTTTTCACCCCGTGATTATAGTTCTTACAAAAACTCAAAAATCGACCGATTTAATCGTATAGTTTATGTTTTTGTCTTGTTATTCATTTAAGTTGTATTTTTTAATCAATGTAGTTCCGTATAGGATTGTTTAAGGCTTCCAATGATCTAAGCTGTTACAAAAATGTTTCGAAGAAGCGAAAATATGTCATGGCATAAATCAGCCACCATAAAAACATAACATTTTGGCAGAAACAATCGCATTACATGCACCTGCTCAGAAATATTTGTTCTCGTTAGAACTGAAAATATTAGATTTTTTCGAATTTTGCACGGACACACGTTTTAAATGAACAGATACTGATTTGTTCCAGGAAGTCAACTCGAAAGTGATCAATATAACTTGCAAGAACTTGTTTCGCAATCGAGCTTAAAATAATGTAAATAACTAAACTTATCCATTTCATTATTTTGTTGTTTCTTATGATTTTGCTTTTTATTTTAGAAAAGTGTCTGAATCACCGGACGATAATGCGTTCACTGTGGAAGATGATTTTAAAAGCGACAAAATCATCAGGTGTGAAAAGACCAATATCAAAGCCTCTCTGTATCAACTGATTCTTGGGTAATAATTTGTTCTTATATGCAAATATCATGCAATTGTTTTCAGAGTTCTTCGATTTCAAATAACGCATGAGTGACTGAGTGAGTGAGTGATTTGGTGAGTGGGTAAGTGAGTGAGTGAGTTGGTGCGTGAGTGAGTGAGTGAGTGAGTGAGTGAGTGAGTAAGTGAGTGAGTGAGTTGGTGAGTTGGTGAGCGTGTGAGTGAGTGAGTGAGTGAGTGAGTGAGTGAGTGAGTGAGTGAGTGAGTGAGTGAGTGAGAGAGTGATGCTGACATTAAAACATTATTTTAACCTAAGTATTCTTACCTGCGGTGATATACAAAAGTACACTTATTTGCATATTCTGTGACAGTAATAATATATTTTCATTATACTCGTCCATTAAATTTAAAAAGAGTAAAATACATTTTTACGATTCTCCTATCTACAGACAAAACGCATTTTCTTTTTTTTTTTCGTTTTTTATTTGTTCATTACCTTCCACAGTGCATACTACGATCCAAGATCAGACAGCAATGAAGCTACTATAACAGTGACAATTATTGTGAAAGGATTACCAGAACGTAAATATTCTGCTTTATTACTTTTACGTGTAATGTTTTTATTTGAAACGTTAATTTACTCATATAATCAGTTATAAAATAGAATGTCTGTGGTAAGATCTAAACTTATTTTGTATTTTTTCTTGTTAATATGCAATGAAAAACTTATTTTCGTTTAAAGACGCTTAATGAATATTCAGAATGTTTTGAGACTGATCGGAATTTTTTCTATAACAATGCATTGTATCAAATATTTGTTTGTTATATTATATATTTAATTTGTTGAAATAGAAATGCACTTAAAACTTTAGTATTCAGATTGTATAATATACATTTGTCGTGGTTATACACCACTAAATTTTAAGCAAGTGCCCTCCCACGCTTTGACCACCGTCTTTATCGTGAATATTATATTATTCAAAGGCCCTCTGAAACTTGCATCAAAAGAGAACGGATTCATTTATGAAAATTATGAAATGTTATAGCTAAGGGCAAAATTTATATAAGGAGATATTATTATTTTTTTTGATAGACATTGGTTTCAATAATAACCTCGTGTCCAATATAACGCATATAATACGCATCTGGGTTTGAAATATACATTCTAATTATGTTAAAATGTAGCAAATACACTTTACAAATAATAAAGTGCTACACTTGTGTACTCATTTGTCATGCTTAAAGGCAAGTACACAAAAAAACCTCTCAAATGGATAAGGAAATACATTTTCGTGATATCATGAATGACAAAATAGCGAGGCCAAAATCACTCGTGGTTAGAAAACATATGTATAACTAGTAGAATGTGAATATAGAATACTTTAACCATAGAAAGCATTTGTGTTTCGCTAACATAAGATATTTCGTGATAATGTTCTTTTTCTTGTCGACAAATGGTAGCAAAGACAACAGATATGAAGACGTTTTGAATAAATGAGAATTCAAATTAGTCACGTCATAGAAGGACAGCTAAATTAGACGAACATAATAAATGCAAACTAAGATAACATCATCTCATTAAATAATCAAACTAGATATGCGGATCAAGTAGGTGTCTTAGGTTTAAGCAATATGGATTCTAATACTGACTGCTATCATCAGAAAAAAATGCTATTAAATATAATTGTCGTCATGAATGTCTGTGACAGAGAGTGACGTCATAGTTTCAACTCAGGTGCCCGCTCGTGCCTAAAGTAATGGAAGGGGAGGCATCTGAGGTCTTTTTCCATCGGTATTAAGCTTGAAAGTCACAATTGTGGGTTTGATTTTCAAACCAAAAACAAATATTAAAGTAATACATGTATATAACGATTTTTTTCTGAAATAATTGTATTACTGAAATTATTTGTTAAGTGTCAAATGTTGGTAGTTGCACGGATAAAATATATGCCATGCACGTAACAAATTATATAAATTTAACTGCTTCCGTCTTTCATTCCGACATTCTGTCAAAAATATTCGGACACCCTGAATGAATTATAAATTAACAATGTTACTTTAAACAAATAGCTCGGCGAAATTTCATTAAATCATCATTACTTAAGCGTGAACGATACAATTTCATTTGATAATCGTGAGTGTATGCAATGTTTATACATATTCAGAGCTACAGTCAAACTATGTAAAGATTTCAAAAGGCCGCGTACAACAAGTTGTTTACAATACACATATTAAGCTTAATATTCTTCGTTATTTCATCTCTCCTCTTTTTAATATTATTATTTTAAATATTATTTATTATTATTTATTATTATTATTATTATTATTATTATTATTATTATTATTATTATTATTATTATTGTTGTTGTTGTTGTTGTTGTTGTTGTTGTATAATTGTATGATACAATGACATTTCCCCTTCACATGGTTAACACAAAAACCAATGGCCGTAATTTATGTTAAAATACATGACGAAACTTTCAAACTTTTGTACAGCTAAAAAACCTGTATGGGTCAAGCCGAATCCCGACTCAACAGCTGATGACCACGTTATAGATTTATTAGAGACTTCTAAAGCTGGGGACGTTATTCTGACACTGTCAGCCACTGACGAAGATACTGAGGCTGCAGGTTTATCATTTAACATGGATAAAAGTGTGAGTTATACATTATATTAAAATCTTTTTAATCTCTATATAGTCTTTTTATGATTTCATTTGTTAAGTGTTTGACATCCCACTTCCCCTGATGTTTTCATCTACTGTCGACTCATCAATATATCCCCCCTCAACATCAAGCATAATCAGGGCTGGAAATCAAAACTGCGTCGTATCCTACAAAATGTAAACAAAGGCCGCCATCTTGGAACGAAAACATATGTTTTTGTTAATTACTCTATTTGATGGAAATGACTGTAAACCAGATATATGTATTAACACGCTACACTATTTTCCGCTTCGTTCTGTATATGTTGCTTGCACAACTATTTTGTAAAACAAAAGTTATAGCGAACTTGCAACTCGAAGCGGAGCAGAATTTTTATGAAAATGTGTGGATACGACGCAGTTCATATTGCTTTATCTATCGTTTTTTCCTTCAAATAAATTATATACTCATTTCAGAGATTACGATTAACTTCGAAATATAATTTTGCATCATTTACTAAAATTTCATTTTAAAGAGATGTTCATTTTCTAAAAAAAATAATGAGTTTTACCAAATGATACGACACAGTTGAAAATAAAATATGATACGACGCAGTTGTATTTTTAACAGTCTTTCCAACAGGGATAATTTTGGCAATATTTGTCTATTTTATGGAATAATCACTTGCGCTTGATAAACAAAAACCCAGATTATTTTCGGTGTATAGCGATGTTCTGTTGATTTTGATTATTTAGAATACATTGTGTCATGTTTAATATAACATTTAATTTGAAAGTTAACATTGCGGAAGCTACTTTACTGTTAAACATGAACATGTTACTTAATTTATCATATTTTTTTTAAATAATTTCTTATATTTTCCTGTATGTTCAATATTATCCCTATTTTTGGCAAAAAATATAGAAGTCTTTTAACATGAATTTATTTTGGTTAGCTACGCTCTAAGTAAACTGTGGTTCTGCATGTTCTGGGTTTGAGGTTTGTTTTCAAACTTTCACTCTACACAATAGCTGTACTGGGGCGAAGACTTCAGGTGCGCCTTTGTGCATTATTTCAGGCAAAATGATGCACCTGCAGAGAACCATCGACATTTTGAAACATCCCTGTTGGTTTTCGACTTCATAGCAGTTCAGTTCAAGTGATTTGAATTCAGTAAACATAAACAGCTCAGCTTCGGTCGAACACCTCTCTGATTTTTTTTTCAACAATTTGTCAACGTCAGCTGTACAAATAAGCAGTTTTAGATTTTCTTATTAACTTCTGGCGTGAAGTTTTAAGATTATAAATATTTGAATTAATTATAAAGACAACAACATTTAACTTTCTTATTGAAATGAAATATTTCCTTATAAGTTAATCTCTAAGATCATTTTTACCTTGATATTTCGGTTCAAATAGCAGAGAAATTTTCAATGTAAACAGGGGGTTAATCGTCTTTGAAAATTAATCAAAATTTTTCAGGCAATTCATTTTCAAATAAAAATCACACTTTAGTTTGAAGGTATGTTTAGATGCCATGTCTCTAGTCTGTGGAAAATTCGATGCGATAATCTGACCTAAATTTTCTCTTCATTATAGTGAAAACTTCTTCAATAATATTGAAACATCCTGTCGTGCATACATTTGTATCTTTATCGGTGCAAAGCGTAAAATACCTTTGCAAAACGGACACCTTCTTTACAAAATAATTTGTAGTTTTATCATTTGTAACTCAATTTTGAAAATTTAAAGTTTTTTTTTTAATTGAGAAAAATGATACTTTAGTCCAAAAATAGAAAATACATTTCGTAGACCTGTTCTCATCGGCGATGAAGAAATGCAATACGACAAAATCGGGGTAAAGTTCCGTGGCGGAGAACATAAAATGACTGAACGGAACGCATACAGTACCGTATACTTGTAAAAATATATCATAGCTTAACCATTTATAATATAATTTTAAAAATTTATTGTTCAGTTTCAAATAATAAAGCTCATCTGTTCACAAAATGAAATCGGCACGTAAAAGACATAATAACGGAATTGACAGAAATTGTTGCTAATTATAAGTAACAAAGGTAGGCATGCAATTTGTGCATACTTCCCTTCAGAAAGCAAGAGACCTTTACAAAATTTGTAATTCTTTATTTTTTTTTATTTATTTTTTTTTTTTTAAAATTCAGAATTTTGATACTAAATTCTGTAAATGAAAAAAGTAACCACCCTAATTTCGAACTCACGGGATAAAGTTTATAAGCATGCTAAGGCAACACTAGAACACGTTGTCATATGGGTGTGCGATCACGTGTTTCAATGTATATATTGTATTTGATACAGCTTTTCGGAATTTGTAGATGCTTTATATGACAGGAATAAAAATGCGACCGAAAAATGAAGCCTTTACATTTTCCATTTTTTGTGAAATCAATGAGTGACCTCTGCATTTGACTTAAGTTGTAAACAAGAAATGTTGGCATACCTAGCACATAATTTAATAGCTGAACCAATATGCAGCCTGCAATGAAAATACAACTGCGTCGAATCATATTTTATTTTCAACTGCGTCGTATCATTTCGTAAAAATCATTATTTTCTTAGGAATAAACATCTCTTTTAAATGAAATTTTTAGTAAATGATGCAAACATTATATTTCGAAGTAAATGGTAAACTCTGAAATGAGTATATAATTTATTTGAATGAAAAAACGATAGATAAAGCAATATGAACTGCGTCGTATCCGCACATTTTCAAAAAAATTCAGCTCCGCTTCGAGTTGCAAGTTCGCTATAACTTTTGTTTTACAAAATAGTTGTGCAAGCAACATATACCGAACGAAGCGGAAAATAGTGTAGCGTGTTAATACATATATCTAGTTTTCAGTCATTTCCAATTAAAAGAGTAATGAACAAAAACAAAGGTTTTTCGTTCCAAGATGGCGGCCTTTGTTTACATTTTGTAGGATACGACGCAGTTTTGATTCCCAGCCCTGATAATCAAAGTTTGCCATTTCAAAAACCTACTCCTAATATAACTGTGTTTCATTTGTTCATATTGCATGCCGTCAAAACAAATCCATTAAAATTAACAGAGGTTATTATCTGTGTAAGCTTTAAAGGTGAAGCAAAGGTTGAACCCTGATCTCATAGTAAATCAAAATGTTTCATGTATTTTCAATGGCTTTCTCTTATTTTTTAACGTCATATCGCGAGGTTTAAGTGAGGGTAACATCAATTCTCAATATATATCTAAAGGGTTAAGCGCATGTTTGTTCCTGTTGTCAGGATGTAAACAATCAAGTGTTTTAATCGTCGGCTTATAATTGTTAAGTTAAAAAGTATGTTTAATATATATTAAAACATTTCGGAGAGGCTGTTTTAACAGAAATATGTAATACTTTAACAAAGCATCATCCCTGTTGGTCCAAAATGTCCCTACCTTTATAATTACTGTTACTGTTGCCATGATCATATCGTATTAAACAGTTACTAAAATTGTTGTCCCAGTATTTTGGACAGCCCTTGACTTGCTTTTTGACTTCTAATTATCTACATAATGATAAAAAAACATATCTGTGCTAACAACTTATTGAAGGTTTAACAATTATGTAATGTCTTTATATCATCATACATAGGCTCCGGCTACTAGAGACGTTTTTATTGTGGAAGGAAACGAATTAAAAGTTAAAGCTGGTGTAACAACTGACACATTTGATATAGAGAAAGTGGGCGTTGTTGACACGTATGCGATTATTTTAGAGTAAGTTTTATAATACTGTGTCATAAATTGATGTAAAATAGAAAAATCTTTATAGTTTTAAACGCTGGAATTAGAATTTATTTACATTTTATATAATGTGAAATATATTTTTTTGGATAAGTATAACACAATTTATCTACAATGTGAAAATATATTAAAACCATTTTCTCTTATATCTACACGAAAAAAAACCCCAAAAACAACTGCTAATGTTATTTTTCTTATTGTGATTTTAGAGTGAGTGATGGGACATCAGCAAAACCTTTATCAACAACAATTGCTTTACAAGATGTGAATGATAACAAACCAATATTTAGCGGTTTATTTACAGCTAATATTGGAGAAAATGCTGAAGCAGGTTTGTTTGTTTTATAGATAGAGGATATTGAATGAGTGTAGGTTTAATACTAAATTTATTGAACGAGTTGAATAAAATCATATTATGCGAGCCTCCGGCGAGCATAATATTGTTTTATTCAACGAGTTCAATAAATTTAGTATTGAATCTACACGAATATAATATTCTATTTATCACATATATAAAATAAGAACGGTAAACTGTAAACAAAAGTCATTTTTCTTTGACGAGCATATAGTGTAACGCTAATATTAGCGCGCTTTAACGTTATGTTTATAGTGCAAATGACGTGACGTCAAAGTGTTATTACACTAGTGTAATATTGTCTAGTGTAATATCGTTTTTATCAAATGGCTTTATTACACTCCTGCGCCGCGGTTTATGTGATAAAGTATTGTATTTTTTATTATTGTATTATATTGCTAATTTTCCTGAGAATACATATTATGAATCGATAAATAAGTAATCCTAGCTCAAAGATTTTATTTGTAAAATGATAATCTTAAAGTATTTAATATATTAGTTATTACAATTTCGCAAAATTATTTGAGCTTCTCTTTGACAAAACAAAGATAATTCATCCGCGCAGTCTGATCAGGATCCATTCTGTTCGCTTAAATACATTATAACAAGTAGAGAAACTGATAGAGAACAGCATGGATCCTGGTCAGACTGCGCGATTGCACAGGCTGGTCTAGATCCATGCTGGTCGCAATTGTATTATCTTGGTTTTGTCATAGCGCGGCTCAAAATTTTAATCTCTGCTGTTTGTGGGGGGTTTAAATATACAATTAATGAATCAAAAGAGAACAACGTTTACGAAATGCAGCCCTTCAAAAGCAACAAGTAAGAGCACCGAAGAGGAATCACAGAGGTAGGGGCGGGTGGAGGAATGGTTAATTATTCACAAAAAGGAAGATTAATTTAAATAAATAGTAAAGATATATGTCGAGATATGAGGGATGTTATACGATTAGGAAGGGTGGAGGGGCAAAAACGAGCGGGAAATACTTCCCGAAAAGATGAAAAAGAAAATGAAACACCGGTACAAAGCACATAAATTTACCTAAAACATGAAGAAGAAATAAGGTGGTATATTACTTGGAAATTAAAACTTAAACTTAAAACTTAAAACTTAATTGTGCATCAATCTGTGCCCATAAAATGTTTCCTTATCCGATGCAGTGGTGCAGTGTAATTAAAATGACATTGAAATTTTTTTTTAAGATTTTACTTTCAAATGTTATATTCAATGTTATGAAAAAAATAAATATATGATAGGTGATTGAACAATATAATTTACGTGTAAATCATTATTATTAAATATCTTAATTATTACTTGTCATAAGAGTTTTATGTTTTGTTTGGTTTTTATAAATATATAACAAATTTAGTGTAACGAGATAGACAAATTAATTTTTATTGCTAAGCTATACATTTACAGGTACGACTGTTATAACTATCACAGCATCGGACGCAGATAAGAGTGCAGAGTTTAACGCAGTTTCGTTTAAAGTTGACGGTAATAAGACTTTTCTCCAATAACTTGCGTTTTTTATTAAATGTATTTGATTCCTAAAATATGATGGAAATACATAACACTAGTATTTATCTTCAGACAAATAATCATGAAAAATACGAGAAGATACATGTAATAAGGCATAAAATAAGGCCCGGAAAACGGGTAGGCGACGCCTACTATGTGTTCAGTTTAAAGGACGTCATGGCTTCTCGAGATTAACGCACCATTAAATATAGGTTTGGTTTAACAATTTTAACACGATTCGAACTGAGAATAGCACAATTTACGATAAACGATGAAATTATTGGTTAATTTTCATTATCTATTTCTTTCAGTTCCTACAGGTTGCTAAGTTGATCTAAGAATTCTTATTTTATGTTTAAGGCTTTGAAACCTTTCTGGAGTTGCAAAGTTTGTTCGCAATTAAAAAAAAGCATGGGCACATTTGAGTTAAAGAAATCATGATTTATGTTAATTCAGTAATTGTTTTAAAAGTGTATACTATGTCAGGTGTAAACGTCGATTCATTTATGAATTGTTTCAATTTTACTAAAATGATGGTGCGTACAATATGTAGAATATGGTTGTTATACTGTTGAAATGAAAGCAGTAAATTGAGTTCAGATATCTTTAAACCCGCTTTATATCGCTTATGAATAATATAATATATATATTTAAAACTTTTATGTTACTTATCGTACGTAAATTTGATTGCAAAACGCCAAACTTAATATCTATCTGGAGCCGTGCAGCCTAAATTTTGTTACGACAAGGACAATTTCAATAAAGCTTAAGTGAGTTTAACAGTTCTCATCATTTCGTTCTCTTATAAATAATATTAGCGATATACAAATGCGTGACATCTCAAAAAAATAGTTGTTTGTTATTTCACACAAAGATTTTAGCATTTTTGTTGTTATTTTAATCAATGAAATTTGTGTTTAAGGTGTACTCGATTCAGTTTTCATATTAGATGGTGACAAAATTTTAGTAGCAACTGGCGCTACTTTCAGTCGTGCCACTACTCCAACTTACAAATTTACGATAGAAGCTTCCGACTCCACTAACACTGAGACACAAGAGTTTACGGTGAACATAAAAGCAGGTTTGTTTGTTTGCTTGATTTGATTTTTAAGCCGATGTTAGCACATTTTTAGTCATATAAGGCGTTCGGTCGCCCAAGTGACTTTACAGGATGACCATACAATAAGTTAATAACCAATTTCTCCACAAATAACTGACTGCTTAACCTATATATTTTCTGCATCAACGGTTAGAGACAATGGACCATAAAATTCAATGTTCGAGATCAAGAGTCACAAGATATTTTGCCACGCCCGATAATCGAACCCGCCGCCAATGGATTACTGTCGCAAAAATATCAGAATCAAAACACATAGTTATTGTAAAGTTATTCATTGTGTCACTACAGTTTGCTGAGGTTTAGGCCAGACAATTTGTCCGACACAACTTAAAATTCATCGATGAGACTATATCATGAGAAACAACATACTGACCCAAAACTTCTGATTCAACATTTCACAATTTTCGATCTTTTACCTTGCTATTTTATGAATTTTTTTAGAGTTTTACTTTCCATAATTGGGTCCTTTTGTTGTCTTAATTACGAGTAAAGATAATCTCTTGCTTTCAATAGAGGTTAGAATCGACCTCTTAGCTTTTAAGGGGCAACACTTTTAACGCATGTGAGGGATTAAGAACAATTTCAGTCTGGAAAATCGGTGACTTTCAATCATGGTCTTCATCGTTCGCTTTTCAGACGGTACTAATTGTGAAATTTTCTCTCTCCTAATAAGTTGAAGGGTTTTATCCCCTTAGCAAGTTGAAGGGTTTTATCCCAATTAGAAGAGGGACAAATCCTTTCAATATATTTAGCGTGGTAAGGAATAATTCATGATTGTGTTGTTTATAGATACATTTTACGAAAACACATCACAGGTATTTAAAATTCCACTCAAAGCCTGAATTAAATCTGAAAAAAAACATAAGCATTACTTAAAACACTTTCTATCGGTGGAAACAAAATTACATGACAAACATCTGTCGAGTGTTGTTGCTATTGCGAATACTGATAACTTTTGTAATTGTATTTTCTTTTCATGTCATTTGAACATCTTGTCATTCGATCAACCCATGCAGTTTTGAGTCTGAAAGATATTTATATAAGACAACATTAAGAAAACGTTCTGTCAGTTAGTTTTTGTCTTTGTCTTAAAATCTTTTGATAAACTTATTGCCAAGTTCTGAACTATCAAGTCGTGAAATATATTGCAGTTTTGGTTTCTTTTATAAAGCGCCGGTTTTTGTTGACCCGGACCCGGATAGCTCGAAAGAAGAACATAAAATCTATATGTGTGAATCCCTTCAAAAAGGAGATACAATTATGACGCTGTTAGCTACTGATGAAGATTCAGATGATAATGCTTTGACTTACAGCATTGGGGATAGTGTAAGTATTATTTAACCATAATATTTTAAGTTTTATAGATACTGATGTTCTAGTTATCAATGAATTTGACCTTGAGAAATAAGCTCGGCTTGGTGTTACTTTTTCTTCTTCTAGAATTATTTGTTTTAATTATTCGAACAAGCAATCATTCATTTTTGTATAAAATAGATAATAACATCCATCACAAATTAACGTGAGTGTTGTGACTTATTTTCTTGCACAAGACTTCATGTATTTATGAGATATACGTCTGAAATTGAGGGCTACCAGTGGGGAAATTAGATTTGATAGTCATGTTGATAACGAGGAAATTTTATTTAAACTTGTAGTTAAGCATAAAATAAAAATTTGTGTGTGTATGTGTGTGCGTGCGTGCGTGCGTGCGTGCGTGTATGATGTTATTTTATATCATCGAATAAACTTGAAACAAACATTATTTGCTCTTGTTTTTTAAAACTCACTCGATGACACTCGATGAAAAAGAATTTCATTATAAACAAAACAAACAAATTTCCTCTTTATATACCAACAATATATATGCATTTTTAATAAAAAGAAAGTTGACAAGGCTACAATGGGCACATTTCAATATTAAGTTTTTCCAAATATTGATAAAAACAATAGAAATTATCAATATTATTTTCTTCCTGAAATGTTGCTTGAAAAATCTTTGTTTAAGTTTCAAGTGATTTGGCATAAGCATTTTTTATGGTTTGTTGTTATGTATGATATTACATTTATCAACATAGTTTTTCATTGCATTACAGACATTTCATCACAGACCAATTTACTTTATCTATTTTCAATTAAATATCAAAACTTATCTGTGATCGAAAATTAGCTTGTTTGTTATTGAAATAGAATATACACAGGATTATAATAGAGATAAACATAATTATATAAATAATTGTTCATGTTAGTAACCGGAATTTACGTTGAAATGTTAGCGGCGGCAAGTTACTTTCGTTTATACATTTCCTATTTCATAAAACTTTACCATTTCTAGGCGAGGATTTCAAGTTTGAAATTATTTGTTGACATGAAGTGGAAGCTAAAATATTTGCTTTTCAAGAAATATTAGAATACTAGATATTTGCTTTTCAAGATATTAGAAATGGCTATAAATTGTTTACACTGTAAGTAATCGATAAATAAAAATTTTAAACGCCTCTTTTTTATTTGTAGAGTGAAATTATTCAGTCATTATTTGAAGTAGACGGAAACTTGTTAAAAGTAAAATCTACAGTGGATGTGGATATCTTTAATTATGAAGAAGAAGGCGCAGTATTAAGTTATACAATCGTATTGAAGTAAGTTGTTGATAAAAGAAAATAAGTATGGTAATATATTGACACCAAACTGTTGTTTAAGTTTCTTTTTGAAATATCTTTGACATTACGGACCTTCTCTCTTTAGGTATTTAATTATTGTGCCTTAGTACATACACACAGTGACGTTCTTCGGTCGAGCGCTGTCTCAAGTCAGTAGGAAATCTTGTAAAATTTCGATGTTTTACCATTTTAATATTCATTTTTTCGTATTGTTTTATTACATAAGCACTGTTTATACGGTCAAAACACATAATATATTATCTGCAAGGTTCGTGAGATGTACGCAGTAAGGTATGTTTTTATCCAATGTGTAAAGTCCTACGTGTTGTAAAATCTAGGCCGCGGATGTCTATGGATCTTATTTATATTTTCAAAGTTATTAAAGCTATGATTGTTTCTTATGTTGTTCATTTTGTTTTCATATGTTTTGCGCTTATTTTGGTAAAATCTATACTCTTTTTAATCATATGCAAATAAGTTGGACAAAATTGTCTTTATCATCTAATAAGTCTTATCGAATTCAGGGTAACTGATGAACTTGGATTAATGTCAACACTACAAACAACAATAGAAGTCGAGGATGACAATGAATTCGCTCCAGTTTTCACAAGTTCCACTGAGGCTTCCATCCTAGAAACATCAACTGGAGGTAAAAAAACAATAAAGAATTACATGTACAAAGCTCACCCTCGGATAAATACATTTTTGACAAATTTATAGAAATCTAGCGAAATTTGTTCTTTACATGTTAAATGTGAATAAGAGCATGTACAAAATGTTTGGGAAGCTGAATTTTCTTTTATTGGTCAATTTGATTAAACAAGAGTCAGTTCAACAATTATCAGTATTTTGAGCATAATATGAGCCGCGCCATGACAAAAACAACAAAGTGGAGGAATTGATAGCGAAAATCATGGATCATTATCAGACTGTGTTGGTCCGGATCTATGCTGGTGCAAACACACTATGTTGGTTTTGTCGTAGCGCGGCTCATTTGTATTTTAACAATGAATTACTTTCGTTTTTATTATAAATTAAATAACAAATAGAGATCATATAGCATATAAATGTATCATAATCTTGCTAGGGTGAACTCATCGTGTTTAACCTATAATCAGCTAGGGGCATCACATTCTTTCAATGCTACCATGCGAGTCAAGATCAACTGGCACATCCGTACCTGCACTGACGGCTGCAACCAATTAAGTTCATATTTAGAAATTTGTCTTTAAAAATGGCTGGTGTAAATTGTCCAAAATTAAAATGGATAATTCATTGAATATGTTAAGGGGCGTACTGTGTTTCGTTTACTCTCGAAACATTAGATTTTCTTGCTGTATTACGCTGTCCGCCTGTCAGTCTATCATTCCGTTCGTTGACAATTTGTTGTTGTTGTTTAAATTTTTCACAACTGGATTTATTATAACCAAACATTATTTATCTTGGATCTGGTTTAAGTTTGAATGTTGTGATTCAATAAATTGACTTTTGTAAGTCAACTGCATTTGTAAAGAAATTATTTCTATCACTTACCTTTGATTATTGTGTACATTTCAATACATGTGTGTGTAAGAAAACAATAGCAGGTCAAATATTAATCCGAATGTGAAAGTTTATATTGAAAGCTGTCAGTTCTATGTAAAAACATAATATTCGAATTACTTTTAAAAACATGATCAAACTCAAATATGTTTTATGGCACTCTACGTATCGGATCTCAGATAAAGTCTGACCACATTTCATAGCCATTTAAAATTATAATGTGCGTGTTTAAAATGAAATTCATGTTAACCAGGTATATTTATTGAAACGGGAAGTTTCTCAAACCCTATTACAAGTAGAGAAACTGATAGCGAACAGCATGGATCCTGATCAGACTGCGCGGTCTGGATCCATGCTTGTCGCAAAACCATTATGTTGGTTTTGTCGTGACGCAGCTCAATTAAGCTTGAACAACTCATTTACACAGAACATTAGAACGAATATTTGAAATTACGTAAATTGGTTTAACCGGTAGATTTAAGATAAAGCTTTAAAATATCGTTGTTTAGAAAGAGTATTCTTCTATTTGAGAAATAATTTACCCCCAAAAAATTTTATCGCTAAATAAAATCACTGGAGTTCGGGTGCGAGATATTATATGAAGATCGTATGGTGGCTAATTTACGCCATGTCATGTTTTCGCTTCTTTGCCTCCAAAATGCGAAAATCGTATTTTCGAAATTTTTGTATTTCAACGCGAAAAAGCGAATATACGACAAAAGAAATGTGAATATAAGACATATTTAATTTTTTCTCTTGTCGTATTTTCGCTTTTTTGCCTCGAACATCTGAAAAAGCGAAAACATGAAGAGATCTTATAAATGCAAATCATGTTGAAACTTATACATGTTTTTTAGGCATTATTCTTAACTATAGCAGGATTTTGTTTTATAGATATATTTTGTACGTCAACTAGTTAGTGTCAAATATAAAATAAACATTTAAATTATTCAGTATTTTCTTTATATAAATAATGGAAATGAGATGACAACTGCAAACTCACATAAGTTATGAAAAAAATATCTTTCTTAATCAGAAATGAAAGATGCTGCTAAATGATTTGGTTATCTGAAAATGCTTCTAAGAAACTTATTAGTTTTATGCCAAACGGGGAACTCCTGATATAAGCAAACATATCATGATTTCGCTATAAGCAGAGTTTACTGTACTTTAGAATGGTTGCTATTATAAGTCATGTTTCTGGAAATAGATTTTATCATCTAAATAATATCTTTACTTTCTTACTATGAACAGGTACAACAGTAATCAAATTAGTAGCATCCGACCAAGACGGTAATCCAGAATTCAATAAAGTATCTTTTACTTTAAGTGGTGATGGTAAGTTCCTATTGTTATAGTCCATTGTATGTTAATTCATGTAGGATGCACGTGCCAATCTGCATATGAAATTTAATCTATATAACTATGTATAATTTTTATGTGCCTTGATATTAAAATTGAAATTAATTTAATTAGCTCCGACTCAATTAAAACATTCACATTCTGCTCTTGTGAATTCCGAATATTTGTTATTAACCAAAAATATATAACTTTGCAGAACTGAATTTAACAAAGCCAAGTTTACAGTGCTCATGGGCGAGAATAATTCAGTTTGTTTGCAACAGCAATTCCAAAATTTTCCCAACCATTTAGTTTAATAATATATATTTAAATATAATCCGCAGATGCATCATCATTTGAAATCGGTGGGTCCAGTAACGACGAGATTCTAGTTAAAGATGGCACAATATTTGATTTCACGACTAAATCATCCTACAAACTGACTGTAACCGCCTCAGATAGCGATCCAGATGATCCTAAAACCACGAACCAAGAAATTACAATCACTATTTTAACAGGTAAATATGGTTAATTTTGTTTCTTTGCATTTTTGTCAAAACACCCTTTTTTGTCATAACCAGGCATAGATCAATCTACAACGGTTTATAGCTTTTGTGAATCACTAACCAGCAATAACCAGTTTCTCTGCAAGTGACCAACTATTAATTGACAAGATTTTTTAGATGAGCTTTGAGAGACGAATGCCAAATATCATCAATTGTTACGGAGAAATTTCGGAAAGCCCGAGGATGAAAGTAGCGATTCATGTTTTGATTTTGAATCATGAAAATTAAGCCTTTTGTCCATTGACAATAGTTTCAAAACCCTGTATATGGAAGTATAAAAATAACTTTCTATTGCGCATGATCATAATTTGTCCAATTACTTTTCCTTTTCATTTTTTTTATTTACAGCACCAGTTTTTAACGAACTTAATGTAGAAAAGTCTACGACCGTAGGTGACGGTGCAGGAACCGATGCGACCATTTATATAATAAATGTCAGTGACGAAGATAACACTGGTACTTTATCGATTTCTATCGTTGAACAAACTCCATCAGAAATATTCATGCTACAGGATAAAGTCCTAAAGCCAAAAAATACTATCGAAGGAGACACAGGGGCAACGACATATAAACTTAAGTTCAAGTATGTAATACAGTTCAAATTTCAAATTAACGTTCTCCATGGCATTCGATAGAAAAAATTAGTTACCTTTCTTAAATTATGAATATCATAGAAATACTTTGTATAAAGTAATAAGAATATGTAAGATTTATGCATTCCAATTATTTATAATGTTACATTAAAGAAACTGAAAATTCACAGTTTCAAATAAAAAGATTTAAGTTAAACTAATGATGTTATATTTTAGTACTTCAAGCGGAAATTAATCTTATGTCTTTTATAATGTCCTAATGACAATCCTACATGCTCATAATCTATTGTCGTACATGAATGTATATATAGAGCATCCGATGAGAAACACGAAGTCACCAGTGCATATTTAACAGTTACAATTACCGAAGTAAATGACAATGCTCCAAAATTTGAAGACCCTGACCCTACCGTTGAGATACTAGAAAATAAACAAGCAGGTAAATGTTTGTTACGAATATCATAACATATGTTCTGAAAATAGACAGATCACCTCTTTGTTACCGAATAACAAACGTGAACATTTTTTATTTATCATACAAATTTGTTTATTGAAGGATTTACTGAACATCATTTTGTATATGACGTTTTTGAAAAAAAAGTTTTAGACTTCCCACCTATTTGAACCCACATGTGGGTCGTGTGCATAATTTCTTTACATTTTTACGCTTTTAAGCCTCAATGAAGCTCTTTCTCCAACGCTTGATACTCATACCACATTCTTATAATGACACTGACAAGGATTCTTTTAAACATTTTGCTTTCTAAATTATATAATTATTGAATCTTAACCGATATATTACGACGTTCCTTTTTATAGTTTTGAAGTGGTTAAATCTGCAAAAGCTGTAATTTACTTGCTGCAAAACTCATAAACAATGTTTTTATGAAGCCCGCTATTTGAACATGATATGTTCACCGTCACTTCAATGTACTAGCGGCGTTTTACTGCACACATTGCGAATGAAATGGTACCTAGATGAAAGTCTATTAAGACCTGCGACACGAAAATTTCGGTCCGTACCAGTTCTCGTTTTATACTGCACCAAGACGGGTATAGTTTTTATACCTTAATGCAATGCCACAAGTAAAGCTAACTAGTAAGGAATAATAGGAATCTGACTCTGTGTGTATTATCTCTAAAGACAGTGGTGCTGACATGTCTGTATTGGTTCAGTTTATGCCTTGGAATAATTTTAATATATCCCGCTTAATCGATATATATTATGTATAGATTTGATTTCTTAATTATAACAAGTAGATATGTTTGGTTGAATTCAAAAAGGAAAAGCACGCTTTTAATATATAGAATCCAAAAATTAACATGTTGAATTGTCTATGCTATTCGCGATATCTCCGTTGGTTTGCATGTTTAAATGTTGAATTCTGCTAGGGGCCGTGAACTGTAGTTTGTATTTGATCTTAACGTATATAATCGGACTCAATCAAATTTGCCGTTTTGAGTTTGCATTAGGAATTCCTATTTTCTATATTCTTTGGTTGTGACGTACAAAAGTCGCTTTACTGCTGTGCTGAAAAGAAATATGCAAAGTAGATTGCTATATAACTATTATAATACTTTCAATGGCATATAATACTGTTCAATTTGTTGGTTATGTAAAGCGAGGTTACTTATATTTGGTTAAATTTGGTTAAGATCTTATACTATAATGCCTTTATTTTAACGCTCATATGATAATGTTAAATTTGTTGGTAATGTAAAGCGAAGTGCCACGTGTGACTTATGTTTGGTTAAATTTGGTTACGATCTAATACATTAATGCCTTTTTTAATGCGCTACAAAAAAAGAAAAACAGCTATAATAAGCAAGAACTACGTCAGCATAGAACTTTTGCATTGTTCATACAAAACTTAAAAAAACAACAACAAGAAATGCCGACCGACTCATATGCCCCCCTTTCTAGCCATCGACTCATATTATTGGTAATTTTGTTATAGAAACTTGCCATAAATGTGAACACGGAAGTATTCAGTTATCGAAATAAAAAACGAAAAATAATGACCTATAAGTTATAACCAATTAATATGTGCAATAAAGAGACCTTGAGCTAGCTTTGAACTAGTGATCCTATTATGACTAATCAATATGTGAAATATGAAAACTTTATGATATATAGTTTTCAAAATGATATGCGGAAACCGTTCTTACATATAAGATCGCTGTGACCTTGACCTTTGAACTACTGTCATCCAAGGCCCCCTTAGACTCTGTGACCCCAAAATCAAAAGGGGTCTGATTAAACTCTATGTGAAATATGAAGACTTTGTGATAAACACTTTTTTAACCATTCTTACATTCAAAGACCCTCTGACCTTGACCTTTGACCTAGTGACGCCCTCCCCCCCCCAAAAAAAAATGGGGATCATCTACTGTGTATGACCATATAAACAGCTTTCAAGATAATGAGCGAAAAGCCTTCTACCGTTCGTGTCGCTCAGCAGTAATTTTACTTATTCAAAATCACATAAGACTTGACTGCTTCGTAGCCATATACATGTAAATACGTTATTAATTTAACAAAAATATACTCCATTATCTTTACAAGATCAGATAATTATTGTCTGTATAAAGCCCATGAAAATTATCATTTTATCACAAATTACATGTTCTGAACATGTTACATGTTCAAAAACGCCGATTACACAGTAATCTCAGGTTGAAATTGTCCAACAGACTTTTTGCAGAACTACTTTTGTCAGAATGAAAAGTTTAAGTTTAATAATTACGCCTTTTTGTATCATTATATACTCTAAAAAAGAACGCTCGCCAGTAAGTACTTGGACATTTTTAAAAACCACATTCACATTCTCTTTGTCAAAAGGGATATTCTACGAAAACCTGTGCTTGCTTTTTCAAATGCCATATCGAAACATAAACTGAAATGTTGAATCATTTAAGAGGGTTTAATCTAGCTCTTGGCAGTTGATATATAAACTTAAATATATTATTATTTTTTGTCTCGAAACAGTTTGTGTTGTTGGAAATCGGAAATCTGTTACAAAACACGGTTAACAAAAACCGCAAAGATGCTAGTATACTATCTAATTATTCAATTATTTTTAAAACTCAACAGACCAAAACCCATGTATAATTAATTAACTGAATTTATTTCTTGAAAATTATTGTATAAAGGAAATTTATGTCACAAGAATATATGACATTTGCAGGATCAAACGTGTATGAAGTAAAGGCCACTGACGCAGATGTAGGCAATCCAAATGATGTATTCACTTTTACCATGGAAGAAACTGGTACATATAAAAATACATAATTATTATGATATATCAAGTGTTATGTTTTTTATTTGATAAGTAAAAAAAAATCAACTACATGTAGTTGCTTGGACTACTGCCTTGTGGATAACCCTTCCATTGCCGTACATTTTTACAAATTTGCAAGGTTCATTCATATATAGTCAATGTTCTTAAAAAAAATAACATGACAGTGTTCAAGATAGCCATGCCTTTTAACCTTTGCAAAGATAGCTATTGCACAATTTATGGCTGATTTACAAATGGAAAACTCTTGAGCTTCCATCGATATCATTTATGTTTAAATCACAATTTTAACTCGTAATCAATCTTCGTGTCTTTTTCCCTTTTTATATTTTTATGTAAAGAAAGTAAAATTGATATATATGCAGTTCATATTTTAGTATGGTTAAAGACAACCTCCCATTGCCAAACTTTTCTAAATTGTTATATTTGTATTGTATTTTGTAAATTGCTTTGTATGTTCTAGTAAATAAGTATATGTCCAATAATCACAATGTCAGTAAGTCTTCAGGCTTTCGTGGGCAATATCAGGTTATTAATAAGTCTTTATGCATACGTTTGCCTACATAACTGCATATTTCATACGGCTTTAATCGGAACGCAAAAAAGATGTATTTAAATTCCTTTAATGTGTACATTTTATGGGGATTTTAAATGAATTTCCTGAAATACAGATATTTTGTAACAAACTACCAACGTATACGTTTATCAAAATAAGATAAATTTGCTTATATAATTATAAAAATGTGTGCTGTAACCTGAATAATTTAACAAATCAATAAAGCAATCAATCATTCAATAAAACAGTCAGTCTGTGGAAAAAACTTTCTGTTTGCGCATCTGCTTAGTGTGCGCGTTGTCTCAAGTTATTCACATATTATTCTAAAAATGTGTTTAAACAGCATGACCTCCAGATAGATTCATATGAATTTTCATAACAATTTAAAAATGTATTTCAAATTAAAATACCGTTAAGTGAACTAGAAAAGTAGTTTACATACGTATTGTAAACGGCAAACACGTCCACGTTATCTACCAACAAGTAATCAAAATAATGCAAAAATAGCCCATACTGCGTTAATAACTTCGAAATCACCGTCTAATAGACTATTACGTGTCCAATTTTACTTAATACTTGAATTATGAATATTTTTTTCTTTCTAAAATATAAGTATTTTTTTACAGGTAAGCTTTTTTTGAAATATTTTGTTTATATTGATGCATGCAGGTTTTATACCATTTTTTTAAAAGTTAAGCTTTTAAGTTAAAAGTTAAATTGAATCATTGCTACTTTTTATTGTTTAACTGATGTTACAAACATATTTAAAACAGTCACTTATCTTTAAAAGCAATAAGTATTTATTCATTAATATCTATTTCTATGATTTATATTTACACACAAGTGGTGTGTGATAAAAAAAAACACTTTTCGTTATAGTTAAAAGAAGAATATTGACATAATTTGTTTACCAGTTATACTTTTAACCTTAACTTTTGACAAAACAATTATGTCGTAGATACAAGTCATTTCGTTATTGGCGAAAATGATGGAGTCATCAAAGTCAATACTGGCGTAACTCTTGACTACTCAACTAAAAATGAGTATAAACTTGTGGTCACTGCGAAAGATGCAAATGATGCAACGGCAAAGTCTGCAAGTACAACAGTAACAGTTAAAATTCAAACTAGTAAGCTCTTTTCTTGTCTTTTATTCTGATAATAACATCAAATATTTAATATCCTTTTTCCTTTTATTGTATTTTGATTATAACACTCTCATTTTCTTGGTATTTGCCGAACAGTTATCCATGTCCTTTGTATTGTTTAAGAGTCGATCACCTCCTCTGATATTACATTTTAGAGGACTTCCGGGAAGCTGACCTCGTGCCGAATTCTTTCAAATTTAAGGGTCAGGATCATGATCAGGATCAAATAAAATAAGAAAGATTTGTTCTATTCAAATATCTATATTGTCCAATACTTGATAAAAGTTGACTTGACATTGCAAGCTTATGAACTTTTGAAATACAAATATTAATACTTTGCGTAATATGTACCTTTTACAGTTGATCCGAATATTGATCCTTGGATTAGTTCTTATTTATATTCTCTTTTTTTCCTTGTGTTTGTGTGTTGTTATTTCCTTATTCGCAAAAGGGTTGTTTCTGTACCGATCAATCTTTAACGGTGACCAGCCTTTGTGAAGAACAAACCAGCAATAACCAGTTTCTCTGCAAGTGACCGACTACTAATTCGACAAGATTTTTAAGCTTTGAGAGACGAATGACAATTATCATCAATTGTTACGGAGAAATTTTTGGCAAGCCCGAGGATGAAAGTATCGATTCCTGTTTTGATTTTGAATCATGAAAATTAAGCCTTATATCCATTGACAATAATTTCAAAACCCTGAATTACAAAAAATAACTTTCTATCGCACATGATCATAATTTGTCCAATTATTTTTCCTTTTCGATTTTTTTTATTTACAGCGCCAGTTTTTCACGAACTAAATGTAGAAAAGTCTGCGACCGTAGATGACGGTGCAGGAACCGATGCGACAGTTTATACAATAAACGTCAGTGACGAAGATAACACTGGTACTTTATCGATTTCTATCGTTGAACAAACTCCATCAGAAATATTCATGCTACAGGATAAAGTCCTAAAGCCAAAAAATACTATTGAAGGAGACACAGGGGAAACGACATATAAACTGAAGTTCAAGTATGTAAATTAATACTTTTACTAAGCCAATTTCAAAGTAATGTTGTCAATGTCAAACAATAAAAGAATTTAGTTTCTTGAATAAAGAAGATCATAGACATTTTTGTGTATTAAGTAATTAGAATAATGAACTTTTGTATGATTATATAAGATTGATGTATTTTAATTATATACTAATATTATGTTGTATTAGAGAAACTGAAAATTCACAGTTTCAAATAAAAAGATTAAGTTGAGGTTATGTTGCTTTGTACTTCAAAAGAAAATGCCTTTTATCTGTTATCATGTTATAATGGCAATCTTCATGCGAATAGAATATTGTCGTACATGTATGTGTATATAGAGCATCCGATGGGACACACGAAGTCACCAGTGCATATTTAACAGTTACAATTACCGAAGTAAATGACAATGCTCCAAAATTTGAAGACCCTGACCCTACTGTGGAGATACTAGAAAATGAACAAGCAGGTAAAATTTTTGTTACGAATATCATAAAATATGTTCTCAAAATAGACAGATCATCTCTTAATTACCGAATAACAAACTTGAACATTTTTTATTTATCATTCAAATTTGTTTATTAAAGAACTTCATGTGCATTTTGTTTTATATGACGGTTTTGAAAAAAAGTTTTCTAGACTTCCAACCCATTTGAACTCATGTGGGTCGTGTGCATAGTTTCCTTGCATTTTTACGCTTTCAGACGTATCCCTTGGTTTGTATGTTTAAATTGAAGCCATGGACTGTAGTTTGTACTTGATCTTACCGTCCATGATCAGACTCAATCAATTTTGCCGTTTTGAGCTTGCATTAGGGATTCCTATTTTCTATATTCTTTGGTTGTGACGTACAAAAGTGGCTTTACTGTTGTGCTGAAGAAAAATATGCAAAGAAGATTGCTATATAACTATTATAATACTTTCAATGGCATATGATACTGTTTAATTTGTTGGTTATGTAAAGCGAGGTTACTTATATTTGGTTAAATTTGGTTAAGATCTTATACTTTAATGCCTTTATTTTAACGCTCTACAAAAAAAGAAAAACAACTATGATATTAACGTTTTTGAAGTCAAAACTAGTGTCAGTAGTGAAGGTTTGCATTTTTCATACAAAATTTAAAAAATAAAGCAACAAGAAATGCCGACAGACACATATGCCCCCCTTTCTAGCCCTCGACTCATATTAATGGTAATTATAGTGAATTATAGAGACCTTGAGCTAGCTTTGAACTAGTGATCCTATTGTGACTAATCAATATGTCAAATATAAAGACTTTCTGACATAAAGTTTTCAAGGTAATAAGCGGAAACCATTCTTACATTTAAAACCGTTGTGATATTGACCTTTGAACTACTGTCATTTAAGGCCCCCTTAGACTTTGTGACCCCAAAATCAATAGGGGTCTGATCAAACACGAAGTGTTTGTGTTAAACCATTCTTACATTCAAAGCTCTTGTGACCTTTGCCTTTGACCTAGTGACCCCTCCCCCAAAAAATTGGGATCATCTACTGTGTATGACCATATAAATAGCTTTCAAGATAATGAGCAGAAACGCTACTACCTTTCGTGTCATTTGGCAGTAATTCTACTTATTCAAAATCACATAAGATTTGACTGCTTCATAGCCATATAAATAGGTAATTAATTTGGTAGGATGAAAAGAATAACAAAAATGTAGTCCATAACACTTACAAGTAAAATGGTTTCCTGCGGCGAACATTTTTGATGATATAAAGATATTTCATTTAACTTCATTCAACATTGTTTGTGTGGGTGGATAAATAAACGTTTGTATCAGGAATATAGTTGACAATAATCGACCAATATAGAAGAAGGTCTTTGGAAACTGGTGACCGTTAATGACCGGACAAGGTCGAACATGGAACAATTATTTCATTTTCAGAAAATGATTAAATAGGCCTACCATTTTATGAATAATTCCGAGCACAAAAAAAGCAATCACACAGGTTTTCGCAGAAAACATCTCTATATATTATGGCAGAATATTACTACGAATATTTTAATTTTGTAGATTTTCAGTATAAACAATTTATTGTTTGTAACATTTTGAGATACATATTAAAGCAACATTGATAATTTTCAAACACATCATTCAAGTTTTTCCACCTTAAACGGTATTATAATTATAGAAAATTAAAAATATCACGTAATAGTTTTTTGTTCTTAATTAGGTGTAACTCTGACTTATTCCATAGAGTGTTATCCGTAGCGTACCGGCAAACGGTATTTAGCCAGATTTTCGAAAAGGTAAATTTACCAATCATGTACAGTTTACAGATCACATGCTCCTCCATGTACCGAAAACAGGTCACGTGCTCCTCCATGCCTCAAAAGTAAAACGCGTACCAATACCGGGAACAAGTTTAGATAATAATTGTCTTATAAAATCAATGAAAATTATCATTTGATCACAAATTACATGTTCTGAACATGTTACTTGTTAAAAAACGCCTATTACACAGTAATCCCAGATTGAATTTTTTTACAGTCTTTTTGCAGAACTAATTCTTTCAGAATGAAAACATAAGTTTAATAAATTATGACTTTTGTATCATTATATTCTCTAAAAAAGAACGCAAGCCAGATAGTACTTGGACATTTTTACATATTAAATTAAAACACTTAAACCCCATTCTCTTTGTCAAAAGGGATATACTACGGAATCCTATTTGTGCTTTTTCAAATGCCATATCGAAACATAAACAGAAATGTTGAATCATTTAAGAGGGTTTTAACCTAGCTCGTGGCAGTTGATATATAATTTTGTCTGTCTCGAAACAGTTTGTGTTGTTGGAAGTCGAAAATCTATTATAAAACACGGTTAACAAATACCGCAAAAATACTACTATTCTATTTAATTATTCAATTATTTTTTAAACTCAATAGACCAAAAGCCATGTATAATTAATTAACTGCATTTAATTCTTGAAAATAATTGTATAGAGGAAATTTATGTCACAAGAATATATGACACTTGCAGGAGCAAACGTGTATGAAGTAAAGGCCACTGACGCAGATGTAGGCAATCCAAATGATGTATTCACCTTTACCATGGAAGAAACTGGTACATGTAAAAATACATTATTATCATGATAAATCAAGTGTAGTGTTTCTTATTTGATAAGTAAGAATAAAATCAGCTAGTAGAACTACTGCCTGGTGGATATACCTTGCCGTAAATGTAAATTTGCAAAGGTTCATTATTATGAAGTCAACTTTCTTAAAAAAATAAATAACATGATAGTATTCAAGATAGCTATCCCTTTTAACCTTTGCAAATATAGCTAGTGCACAATTTATGGCTGATTAACAAATGGAAAACTCTTGAGTTTCCATCGATATCATTTAATATGTTTAAATCACAATTTTAACTCGTAATCAATCTTCGTGTCTTTTTCCCTTTTTATCCGCGTGTAAAAAAAAAGTAAAATTGATACATGCAGTTCATATTTTAGTATGGTTAAAGACAACTTCCAATGGCCAAACTATTCTTAATTGTTACATTTTCCAGATTCATGTGAATTTTCATAACAAATTAAAAATGTGTTTCAAAGTAAAATACCGTTAAGTGAACCAGAAAGGTAAACGGCAAACACAGTCCACGTTATCTACCAACGAGTAGTCAAAAAATGCAAAAAAGACCATACTGCGTTAATCACTTCAAAATCACCGACTTATAGACTATCTATTACGTGTTCATTTTACTTGATACTTGAATTATGAATCTTTTTTTTTCTTCTTAAAATATAAGTATTATTTTCACAGGTAAGCTTTTCTTGAAATATTTTGTTTATCTTGATGCATGCAGCTTTTATACCATTTTTTAAACTAAAGCTTTTAAGTTAACAGTAAAATTGAATCATTGCTATTTTTTATTGTTTAACTGATGTTACAAACACATTTAAAACAGTCACTTATCTTTTAAAGCAATAAGTATTTATTTATAATATCTATTTCTTCTATTTACACGAGAGTGGTGTGTGATCAAAAAAAAAAAAGAACACTTTTTGTTATAGTTAAAAAAATATATCATAATTCGTTTACCAGATAAAGTAATTAAGTAAGTAATTGCATTTTATAGTCTAAGTTTCATGCTTACGCACGTTCACCGACTTTACAGCTATTACCCCTGGTCATGGGGCTACTGGTATCTATCTATCAATCTCCCAGGGAGTCTTTTAAACTGTTAAACTTAACTTTTGACAAAACAATTATGTCGTAGATACAAGTCATTTCGTTATTGGCGAAAATGATGGAGTCATCAAAGTCAATACTGGCGTAACTCTTGACTACTCAACTAAAAATGAGTATAAACTTGTGGTCACTGCGAAAGATGCAAATGATGAAACGGCAAAGTCTGCAAGTACAACAGTAACAGTTAAAATTCAAACTAGTAAGTTCTTTTTTTGTCTTGTATTCTGATAATAACATCAAATATTTAATATCCTTTTTATTTTAATTGTATTTTGATGATACATGTAACATCGAATATTCACTCTCCTTTTCTTGCTGAACAGTTTTTCATGTTCTTTGTATTAGCAGTTGATCACTTCCCCTGATAAAACGTTTTTTAGAGTACTTCCAGGAAGCTGACCTCGTGCCGAATTAACTCAAATTTAAGATAATGATCACGATCAGGATCAAATAAAACACAAAGATTTGTTTTTTTTAATATCTACATTGTCCAATACTTGATACATTGCATGCTTATAAATTTTTGAAATACAACTAGTATTTCTTTGCGAAATATGTTCCTTTTACAGTCGATCTAAATATTGGCCCCTCAAATAGTTTTTACTTATTTTGTATGTGTGTTAGTTGTTATTCTCTCATTCCCAATAGTTTTATTTCTTTGCAAACTGGCTCTTTATTCAATTTGTTTACATGCAATTTAATTTGATTATTAGCTAATTACAATCAAATTAAGCAATGAAATTAAAATCAGGATTATTCAATGCTTATACAGAATCTTTCAGTAGACATGGGGCAAGACTGTATGAAGTAAACCAAATAAATATTCGAACAAAGTTTACAACTGCTGAGTATATTTTGGAATATTTGTTAATCGAGTAATAATATGTGGTATGTACGAATAAGTAAAGCTGTAAATTGCACCTTTTTTTCTTTCCAAGTGCCGGTTTTTGTTGACCCGGATCCGGATAGCACAAAGGACGGACATAAAATCTACATGTGCGAAAATCTTCAAAAAGGAGATGCAGTTATGACTCTTAATGCTAATGATGAGGATTCAGATGATAGTTCTTTAACTTATAGTATGGATGGAAGTGTAAGTGATGTTCATAATATACCAAATATACTTAAATTATGTTGTAGTAGCTTCTGGGGCTTTGCCACGAGCATCGTTGAAAAATATCTCGCGAGACATAAGGTCGAGCGGGATAAAAAAAACTTTCATCTGCACATAGCAAGCAGCATGGCCTAAGAAAGTTTCTACAATATAATTATTGTTTCATTATATACCTTCACGTTTTAAGACAAGTTTTAATGTACTTAACTTTCATTCCATTAGTTATTTCAGAAACTAATGTGCATCAATGTCAAGATGTCAAGAAATAAAATTCACGAATGACGGATAATTACGTCTTTTTGCAATTAGATTTAATAGTTCTTGTTCCCGTTTTCAAATGCTTGTAATAAACAGCTAAGATGTCAGGCACTTCCATATACGGTACCGTACATGTATTTGTCTCTATACGGTACCATATTCGTCTCTAACATAATACGAATTTTTTTCATCCATTGAAGCGTATACGCTCTTTAAGATTTGCATTTATTTTAAGGACAAACTTTATTGTATTACATGAATACGAATATGATTTTCAAATAGCTAATGAAAACTGCACCACAGACTCATACGTTCCGGACAAAAATTAATCTTTATGTACCTCTCTTATTTACAGAGTGACGATGTAAAGGCATTATTTGAAATAGTTGGTAACACCCTAAAAATAAAATCTACCGTGGCTGACAATACGTTTGACTATGAAAAGGAAGGTGCTGTAAAAAGTTATGCAATTGTATTAAAGTAAGTTGAACATTTTGTATTTATAAAACTGAATAAAAAAATGTAAGTATTTTATGTTGATTTAGGTTGATGATGGTATAGATGATATGTTATTAAATTTGTCAATTATTTTGAAATTTAAACAATATTACTCTGCGATATGTTACTGTTTGTTTCGTTCTCAATGATATAAATGAGTCCTCTTTGTCAAGATGTTTTTCTCAAGCAGTATATGTCCAGTTTGAATTGTGGCATCTGGTACAAGTTATGATGAACTCTACCTCTTTGTAATCATATTTATTGAGATAAACGATTCTATTTTAAAGAAAACGTATTATTGAGGATTCTATATCATTTACTTAAATTGATACAAGCGGGTATAAATGTCGGTGTTCATTCCGTTAACTCTCTTGAATAGACACATTGAATCCGGGAATACGCACGTCTATTATTTGCTATTTTTACAAAGCTTTCGAGGGATCTGTTCCCGGATCCTTTTTGTAATTGTAATGAAAGTTACACTGAAAACGTTTCCAGCGCAATATAGGGTTTATTGAACATCAGACGGAACTTGTTATGGCCTTATGTCCAACTGGTGAGATGAGGTAAGGGCTAATTCAAAATCTAAAGGCTTAATTTGCTTTTAATTTTATTCATCTGACTCCTTAATTTCAGAGTAACAGATGTATCAGGCTTTTCATCATTGTTAAAAACTAGTATTGAACTCGAAGATGACAATGAATTTGCTCCAGTTTTCTTAAGTGCCTCTGAGACTTCCATCTCAGAATCGTCTTCTCAAGGTAAGTTTTCAGCGTAAACAGTTTGTGACTATCGTTTTAGACATTAAATACAGGAAAATATATAAACACATAACTTACATACATACATGTATGATATTCTTGTTTTTTTTTGTTTTTTTTTAGTACTTGTTATAAAACGCTGAAATAGATATAATATAATCATATATAGAACAATTGCGCTGTTTATAAAGATCAAATTTTGAAGTACGGTAGAAAAAATAGCATACTTCAAAGAGTACCAATTATTTCATTTTTTCTAAACATAGCATACGCTATCTTTCTGCCCGGAAGTGAATTTTTAAAGGAAAAAAAACAAACATGAGAAACATTTTATAATTATAACACAAGCAAAGCGTGAATTCGTCTTTTTTTTTCTCGAACATGTAACCATATGCACAAAAACATAAAGATACACATAACACACGAAGATTTATGCTTGTTTAAAACAACAAAAATTATGACATAATGAAACTTTTTTTGGAATTTTAACCACAGTAAAAAAGAACCATCTTAAGATTGTTTTGATAATCGTAAATTAATATCTTTTTTGAATATTTGACAGGTACAACAGTAATTAAATTAGAAGCATCCGACCAAGACGGTAATCCAGAATTCAATAAAGTATCTTTTACTTTAAGTGGTGATGGTAAGTGTTAATGTTTAAAGTTCTTTTTTTACAATGCATATGACGCATCCGAAGAAGCACCCGTATTTAATGTGAAAAGTAAATGAAAGAGAGGGACACACAGACAGATAAACATACAAACAGTGCTTGACTTTATTTTCTAACTTAAGCTTTATGCTCGACTTTGTCGTGCACGTTTATTCGTTGAAAAAAGCTAAAATCTTAAAATTTATAAAAGTGTGTTTATGCCTAAAATGCGGTAATAAGTTGTTCTTTACGTATTTGATAGCATTATATGTAATAAGCTAGAATGTTCGGGTTATAAACAGTAACATGTAGATATAAAATCATATTACAAAGTCAGCCAAAATCTTCGATCTACTATTTAACAGCCTGATACTCTAAATTCAGTTTGTTTCAAACGTCAAATCCAAACCGGTTACATTTAGAGTATGTTTTGTGTTGCTGGCTACACAACAATTGATACTCGTTGCAAATAAGCCAGGCTTATATAGATCACTTTGCTATTGTCTGTCTGTCTACCTGTCTGTTCATCTGTCTGTTTGTCTGTCACAAAACCTGACTTCATTAAACATTACTGATGCAATTTCATATAAACTGTAAAGAAGTTATCAGTACCAAGTTGAGTTGTGCATATCGTCAGTATTTTTGGGTTGAATGATTTTAATCATAGTTATGGCCCTTTATTATAATGTTTTCAAGTTGTGTCTGAACTACTTCCACTTCTCTTATACTACTTATGAAATTTGAGTGAAACATATAACAGGATTGATCGGTACCTTGAGTACTTGCACATAATTAACGGGTTTTTTGGTTGATTGATTTTGGCTGAAAAAAGCGCGTTTTGGCATGTTTATTTTTTTCTCTTGCTACACAATTACTTCAACATAATACAAAGTGGCCCGACATATATCATTGTATATAGGGAACAACTGTCCAATCCCCCTCAATAGAACCAATATAACTGGTGAATTGGCTATAATCCGACGACACATATGATCACTGATCGCCCTTCTTGTTTTATGTAACACGCACAATTCAAATATTTATATACGTTTCTCAGATGCATCATCATTTGAACTCAGTGAGTCCAGCAAAGACGAGATTATAGTGAAAGTAGGTGCAACATTTGATTACGGGACGAAATCATCCTACACACTGACAGTAACAGCCTCGGATAGCGATCCAGATGAGCCTAGAACTGCTGACCAAGAACTAATAATCAAAATTTTAACAGGTAAATAATTATGATACTGTAAATATAAATTCAAGAAATGTTACATACACAGCTCCTGAATATAGCTGTACATAGATGTAAAAATATGATTAATTTGATAACAACAATTGATAAATACATAGTATGACCTTAATTGTATATAATTAACTACCTTTGATGTATATAATGAACTACTTGGGAAATTTGATAATAACTCGCAAATTATTCTTAAAAAGTAATTGTTTATTGTTATATCGTTTTCATTTAGCGCCAACATTTACTTCACCAATAAATAATGACAAAATAGATGTTAATGAAGATAGTGGAGACGGTTATTTAGTAAAAACGCTCGAAGCTTCGGACGAAGACGGCGATACTCTTACATACACAATCGTTTCTCAGGTTTGTGTTAAATACATAAGGATATGCGAAAATTTCATAGTTTGAAATGTTTAACATCCGTGTAGTCAGACCAGGCTCTATACTTTTGGCTGACTCACTTTATAAATTCATCTTGACATCTTCAGAAGTGATAAAAGGCAGTTCAAAAATGTATGCCGGACACATTCAATCATGAGATTTAAAAGTAATATTTGGTTTACATTTATTCAAACCTAATTTTTTTAAAGTAACAAAACTATCCTAAATGTCTTTGTAAGCTTTTAAAACTTTAAGTCCTCGCATGCTGTAATAAAGTTGATATTCTACTATCTTATTTTTGTTTATAAAATATGTAATATGCAAATTGTAGTGAACTTTTTGTTATTCTTGTATTTTAATGCTGCGAAAATTGAAAGTTTCAGTCCATAATAAAATTATTGCTTCTTTAAGATAGTGTTACAATCTTTCATGCAAAAACAAACTACTATGCCAGCATGTTAGCATATTTACAGATACAAACCACTATATATTTTCTCAACTAAACCAATCTCGCATCAGATGAAGGAAAACACACAAATATGATATAATGTATTCAGGAAATAAAACGCTATCTCTATTTCAAGTTTATAAATCATTTGTTGCTTTTGTGGCTATTTTTATATGAGTAATTTGTGTTGTGGTCGTTCTTACAGGATGATACATGTTCACCTCAGTTCAAAAGTTTCTTTTTTCCTTTAAAGCCACAACAGTTAAACACATTCCTTTCTATTAATAACAGACTCCAGATGATCCAGTAAAGTTTATCGTGGAGAATAAAGAACTAAAAACAAAAGGCACATTTAACGTTGACGTTGCTGATGCTGTACAGTCATACACCCTTTCATTAAAGTAAATTGTTGCAGTTTTTAAAATCACATATAATACATTTATGTTGTCTTTGTAAATTTTCACTTTGTAAAATTATTTTACAGACTTAAAATCATGTTATCAATTTATTGTTCATGTGACAATCATTCATATGTTTTTATATTCATGTGACAACTCTAGATCTTTTCTAAAACCGTTATAAATTTTAAAATGCACAAAAAGCTTAAGATGGCCAATGTTTAACGTTTTAAAAAAAGATACCTAATAGTCTTAGAGGGAGAAAAAGGTTGCATTGCCTTTAGGGCTCTGTAGACCTGTTAGGTTACAAACATTTTGAAAATGGTGTCATTTGTTTATATTGTAAGAGGGTTTCATTATATTGTAACAGGGTTTCAGATGGCAACGATAAAACGGATGATGAAACTATTCAAGTCGTGATAAACATAAAAGACTCAAACACACAGACCCCTAAGTTTAAGACAGGGGTGACATATGAAGCAAGTGTAAAAGAAACTGCAGAAATCGGTAAGAAGTTATAAGAATTCTTTAATTAGTTCTTGGTGATTCTTGTTTTCAAACCTTTACCATGCTTCTGACAACTTAATTTCCTTTTTTATTAAAGTTTATAACTTGCATACAACCCCACAATTTAGTTGATGTACTATCAAAAAGAACTCGAAAATCGCCTGTTTATTTAATTTGTTACATGGCAGTTTGTATTAACTTTTATAATATACATTATCTTAATAAGATCGAAGTTGAGAAACATATTATAACAATGTTTTGAGCCTGCTGACCGTAAAATACTTACTTTTTTATTCTTAAAAATTTTTACTAATGCATCCATTGCAGACCAAGATATTCCGGCACAGTATTGCTGTCTGATCATACCCTATGCTGTTATTCAGTTTGTACATATATTGGATCTTTTTTCAATAGGATAATTGGTTTAGTCCAAATTAAGAAAATAAACCGTGATAAAGGTTACAAATATGAGAGATTACAAAAATCAATTGTCTTCTCATTATGCTAAGTTTTAGGCATTTTTGGAGGGGGTGTTGTTGTTTTTTGTTTGTACTACTAACACATTATTCGTTTCTTAATTCATTAATAGATTTAACAGATTTCTGTTCTTGATTCAGATTTTAAAGTTTTCACTGTAACTGCAACTGATGACGACCTCACAGAAACTAACAACAAAGTTACCTATTCTCTTGGTATGTTACATGTTATATGATAACATTGCTGTTTTAAACATATACGCTGCCAAAATCAAATTGTGATCAATGAAAATATTAATGATTGTTACACATTCTCCATGTAAATATGAAATAAAAATGTTTTTACTGCACACAAAGAAGATATGTTAGGTGTAATCGATATACACTAAAAAGAACATAAAGTAGCATTAAACAACCGGCAGTTATTTGTTTTTTGTTGTTACGTTTAAATTTCTTTTTTTATCATTATTTTTGTCAGAACGAACCAACTATCCTGACCCGTAATAGCGAATGCAGCTTCCAAAACTTAAATTGTACCTTGTCTTACTCAAATTAGACATATTCACAGATTTCAGTAAATGACTGCGATAAAAATATTATTTTGAGATAAGAAAAATATATCTTGATCAAGGAATGAATTGTCAGTTTTTTAAATTTTATTAATTTTAACAAATTATTTTGATGTTTTGTTGATTATTTTTATCACGTACTTGACAGAAATAGACGGTATGTTTCCGCTACGTCGTAGTGTTACCAGGAAAGTCTGGAAAAAAAAACAGATAAATGATTGTTATAGCCGGATTCAATCACATGACTTAGCATCAAAATTACACAACTTTGTCCCCAGAACATATCTAGATCAGCATGTACGAGTATATAAGTACTGATCTAGAACAAAATGTATCCGTATATTTGAAATGGTTCCATAATTAACTTACAGTGACCTTTTTATATATTTTTAGTCTTATACAGGCAGTTTGCCTTAGCCAACATGCAGTTTCTCCAATCCAAAATATGTTATATTTTCCCCTAGAATAAAGTCATGATTTCCACTGGAACAAAAAAGTCTTTAACTGCAATAAAATAAAGTTCAATAATTAAATAAACAGCTCTAAATATGAATTTGAAATAAAAAAAATAATTTAAAGTTAAGATTGTTACATTCTTATTTGTTAGTGTTTGATTCGTGCTTTTCCCCATTTATGATTTATTGTTCTATATTGTTCCCCCATTAAGCTGCAGGTTGATCTGATAATTTCAAAAAAAATCACTGGCTGAACTTTTTTGTGTAATCCTAAAGAATGATAATTTTGGGTTTTTGGGTTGAAAATAAAGTTTCACAATTCAATTCTGGGAATTAAGCAGTATGACCGTTAAATATAAATGTGAGTAATAGTCTGGGATAATACGTGTCAGTGGCCATTGTACACACTAGATATTAAACGTATATTGACATTGAAAATGATCAATGATATACTATTCAATTTAACAAACTTTTCAAGAGTAATACTTCGCATCATTAAGTTACTTTAATTTACCATTTCTACATTTGTTTTAAGGGTCAGTGACTGAATTTATTATTGGCGAGTCAAGTGGAGAAATAACAGTTTCAGCAAAGTTAAGTTATAACACAAAATCTTCATATGATGTAACTGTGACAGCTAAGGACAACGGTGGCAAGTCTGCAACAAAGAATGTCATGATAACAATTCTTGCAGGTATCAGTTTAATCATGTTCCGTTGATTTTTTTTCAAAGTGCGCTGAAGAGAAAAACATATCAGAGCTAGAGCTGAAAATTGTTGACAAATCAGCTTTCAGCGTTTTTATTAATGATAAACAAAAGGGTGTTCGCATAACAGTTTCATCAATATTTAATACAACACGTCTGCTGTTAAATTTTCTGTGCCCCTTATATGAAGGATGAAAAGGGCATTCTATTGAAACGTCATTTGAATTAAAAGAATATATTTTAAAACATATACTTAATTAAGTATAAAACTTGTCAAAAGACAATGGTTAATACATATAAAATATGTCTTTTTGCGATGACTTACCAGAATAAGGCGAAGGAAAATGCCATCATATGCATCGTAAGTAGTCACATAAATGTAACAAATTATTATACTAAACTATTAAGAATAGGGGCCTGATTCGTTTCGAATAAAGCAAGGAGAAAAAAGTAAAAAAATTGAAGGCTTGTGGAAAAGCATTGAATTATTTTTGAATTCAGACTTTCTTGCATGTTAGCACATTAACATTTAAAAGCTAGATATATTGACCTTTGATAGCATATGTTAAAATGTATATAAACGTTAATAATCTAGAGCCAGTGTTCACGAATATTGCTGAGGCGGTAACAAGAGAGATTAAGGAGAATGTTGGTGGTGACACATCGGTATTTCAAGTAACGGTACAGGATTCAGATGATACTTGGAACGATGTAATAGAAATAGCAAGTCAGTCGCCAGGAGAAATGTTCAAAATGGATGGAGATACACTTAAAACAAACACAAATAGTTTTGATGCCGAGACTACAACAGCTTATGAAGTGACATTCAAGTATGTTCATGTTACATAGGCGTTGTTTCATTTATTGTATTTAGTAATGAAGTGTTATTACAAGAATAAAACTTTTTACAAGCATTTGTACATCTGCATGCTTTGCCTGCTTCTTCAAATCAACTTTAATAACCCTTCACATAGAAATACGGCATTTCTGATATAAATTGAAAGTTAAGATGTAGAAAGTGCATCGTTTCTAGTGTTCTACTTTTTAGGTTTATACTGTAAGCGTGACAAAAGGGGCACAGTCTTTTATTGTTTGTGAAGGGTTTACGTTGTTTAAGAAAATACAGTCATATTTCAACAGAAACATATTTAGTTACAACTATAACATTTATCAACAACTAATCTTGCTCACACAAAGGTATTTCGAATACATAATTGCTACCTGATTACTTCGTCAAATGCTATTTTATCTGATGATTTACATTATTCTTATTTCAATAGATTTCAGTTATTATGTTATGTAAGTAGGTATTTGTCTAAATGCATGGGTAAGAAAATCTCCAATGCAACGGCGTCTTCATTAAGGTTTTCTTTTGATTTACGACAATTCTTTTCAGTTGTGTCTTGTAAATGTCTAGCATGAGCTGGCCTTCAGAATATTTATTATTTATGAATTGGAAATTCCTGTTAATTTTGTTTATGTAATAACACAATGCTAAGAAATACAAACTCCTGTCAAAATATTATCATTGATTTAAACTGTTCCAGGTTAGATATGTAACCCCCCCA